ACAAATGTGTTGATGGCTGGACATTGCATCATCCTAGAAAACTTGGAGGCCAGTGAGGGCAAAAATAAAAAGTTATAAGACTTTTAAATATGTGGATCTTAGGGTTATCTTTGGCGCCCCCTAGAACCTAAACCGTGGGGTGCAGCGTCATGATTTGAATAACTTTTAATGGCCATGGGGTGTAGATTGGCCTGAGCAAATGTGGTGCCGGTGGAACGAAAGCCTTCGGAGGAGTTAGCGAAATTCCAATGTGTGCGGATCGGCAAAAAATGCGAAATAACCCTTTAACCGTACATTTGACAGATACGCCCGCACTGACTTTTTTGTAGATCTTATTGAGATACATGTGTGTGTCAATTTTTGTGTCATTTTGACAAAGCGTACATGCGTGACCTTCAACAATGTGTATTTTCACCTTAGGGGACAAGAAAAAATGAACTTTTTTCTCCTGCCATGGGGGGGCGCTCTTTTGGGGAGTAAAAATTCCTTCACAAATGTGTTGATGGCTGGACATTGCATCATCCTAGAAAACTTGGAGGCCAGTGAGGGCAAAAATAAAAAGTTATAAGACTTTTAAATATGTGGATTTTAGGGTTATCTTTGGCGCCCCCTAGAACCTAAACCGTGGGGTGCAGCGTCATGATTTGAATAACTTTTAATGGCCATGGGGTGTAGATTGGCCTGAGCAAATGTGGTGCCGATGGAACGAAAGCCTTCGGAGGAGTTAGCGAAATTCCAATGTGTGCGGATCGGCAAAAAATGCGAAATAACCCTTTAACCGTACATTTGACAGATATGCCCGCACTGACTTTTTTGTAGATCTTATTGAGATATATGTGTGTGTCAATTTTTGTGTCATTTTGACAAAGCGTACAGGCGTGACAGTCAATAGTGTGAATTTTCACCTTAGGGGGCGCTATGGAGCCATTTTGCATTTTCTTGTTTGGGCGACTTCGGAATATCGAATTTTTCACCAGGCCCGGTCGTCCTGCCAAATTTCCTGAGTTTTCGCCAGTGGGAAGTGGGCCATTTTCCAGTTCAAAGGGGAGGAAAAAGAAGAAAGAAAGAAAGAACTAGGACCCCGTTGGGGCACTGGCGGGCCCGAGCCGTGTCGCCCCCCCCCCCCCCCCAACGTGCTGCCTCCCCGTCCCATTTGTGTCCTCTGGCCATCGCCCTCTCTGGTAACGCCCATCACTGCAAAGACCCTTTTCCTTCATCGGCGTTTGCTGTTCTTCCTGCCAGTGCGTGTTGCTTTCACTTACACTTGCCACAGCCAGCCTCGTGAGTGCCTAGCCTATTGGATATCACTGTCACCTACACAGGACAGTCATTACCTTTCTATTAATACTTTGTGTTTTAATTTCACATTAATTTCCATATTGTATAAACGACTGGAAAAAACTTGAGCCCCTGCCCCTGTATAATCATGTGCATGTCTCTGTTCTAGCACCAAGGTGAATCTTCACTGCTCATGTTCTCCTCAGAAGCACTCACCTCACTCCCCTCAGGTTATTGTACACATGCACCAACTGCCTGCTTCAGGTTTGGATGGAGCTTCATGGTTGTCTTTTGGAGAAATGACCAGTCAAGTTGTGTTTGAAATTTGATTTTTTTCAGGGGCAAAAGGAGCCTCTGCATTCTTGTCAAATATGTAAATAGCATGTTTTTGCAGGTGCTAAAAACCAGACTCTGAGTGTGTGTGTGTGTGTGTGTGTGTGTGTGTGTGTGTGTGTGTGTGTGTGCGTGTGTGTGTGTCTGTGTGTGCGTTCAAGTCACATGACATATTTAACCGGATGTAGCTGCAAGACGGAGCCTCGTTGACTCTCCGTTTCAACTTATCTCAAAAGTGAGGACCTCAACCTATATACCAGTTTTTAAATTGTGTTGATAGGCCAAATAAAACCAAAGTTATGATAAATTATGTCCGCGATACTTTTTTTCTGCTTATTTTGATCACGTTCGGCGCTCGATCGCGCTGTATGAGACAGGAAAACATAGCATGCAGACATTAGCGACAGGTCTTACAGGCGGAAAAGGCTTGCCAAAAGAAAAAAAAAACACACCACAACATCTCTCCTATTGGTGGAAAACTTCACCACAACAACCAATCCAAAATTATATGGTGACTGAATGACAAGGGGCGGGCGCTTACGTTCTTCCTGCAACATGAGAAGGGAGGGAGGGACTCTCAGCAGGGATGCAGTCTGGGACACGTAGTTGCAAACCTAGCGACTTTGTTGTTAGATTCAATGACTTTTCAGACCCCCTAACGACTTTTTTTTTAGAAAGAAAGGGACTTTTATCGACTTCTTCTGGAGTTTAGAGACTCTGACATGAAGCAGGCTTTCCTTACTGAGGAGTTAGCAACGCTGCTAAGGGTGCAGAGCCACACATGCGCTCAGAGCTCTGCATGGGAGACTGAAGCTGACAGAGCTGCAGCAGTTAGCAGGTTTCACCCTCAGAGACCACCAGGGGTTCATGTTGAGGCATTTTAATTTTTTTTTTTTTGTGCCATAGACACTGTCAGCACAATCTGCAGTTACACTAACAAAAATGCTGCAAAAAACAAAGAATTATGGAAAAATTACACATGGACTGACATAGAGGAGGATCTACACAAGTTTTTTACATCATGTTTTACATCATGCATCATTTACATCATGTTTTTTTGTAGTGGCATAAATAAAAAGTGACATTTGTGAGACTATACAGTGTTTTGTAAATAATTTTACAAAGAACGCCTGGGCCATTGCCTGCATTTTGATGTAAATAGAGGTAAATCACTATGTTCTTTGTTAAAAATTTGCATATGTTTTGAAGTTTACAATTTTTATTTGAAGTTTAAGTTTTAAAAACAGTTCATCACACCTATTTGTGGTTTTCACAGTAAAAATGTTACTTTTTTCCACTCGGATTTTATGTTTTGTGTGTGAATTTGGGTCCATTGTGTAAATTCAGTATGTCAACATGATAAAATAACTGTAAATTCGCACAGGTGAGGTTGTGCTGAAAAAAATGATACCAGGCAAGGCACGTGATTGTCAAATTTTGTGTCAATATGACAAAGCGTATAGGCGTGAATCTCAACAATATGTATTTTCACCTTAGGGGACAAGAAAAAATGGACTTTTTTCTCCTGCCATGGGGAGGCGTTCTTTTGGGGAGTAAAAATTCCTTCACAAATGTGTTGATGGCTGGACATTGCATCATCCTAGAAAACTTGGAGGCCAGTGAGGACAAAAATAAAAAGTTATAAGACTTTTAAATATGTGGATTTTAGGGTTGTCTTTGGCGCCCCCTAGAACCTAAACCGTGGGGTGCAGCGTCATGATTTGAATAACTTTTAATGGCCATGGGGTGTAGATTGGCCTGAGCAAATGTGGTGCCGGTGGACAGAAAGCCTTCGGAGGAGTTAGCGAAATTCCAATGTGTGCGGATCGGCAAAAAATGCGGAATAACCCTTTAACCGTACATTTGACAGATACGCGCGCATTGACTTTTTCGTAGATCTTATTGAGATACACGTGATTGTCAAATTTTGTGTCAATATGACAAAGCGTATAGGCGTGACACTCAACAATGTGTATTTTCACCTTAGGGGACAAGAAAAAATGGACTTTTTTCTCCTGCCATGGGGGGGCGCTCTTTTGGGGAGTAAAAATTCCTTCACAAATGTGTTGATGGCTGGACATTGCATCATCCTAGAAAACTTGGAGGCCAGTGAGGACAAAATTAAAAAGTTATAAGACTTTTAAATATGTGGATTTTAGTGTTATCTTTGGCGCCCCCTAGAACCTAAACCTTGGGGTGCAGCGTCATGATTTTGATAACTTTTAATGGCCACGGGGTGTAGATTGGCCTGAGCAAATGTGGTGCCGGTGGAACGAAAGCCTTCGGAGGAGTTAGCGAAATTCCAATGTGTGCGGATCGGCAAAAAATGCGAAATAACCCTTTAACCGTAATTTTGACAGATACGGCCGCACTGACTTTTTTGTAGATCTTATTGAGATACATATGTGTGTCAATTTTTGTGTCAATATGACAAAGCGTACAGGCGTGACAGTCAATAGTGTGAATTTTCACCTTAGGGGGCGCTATGGAGCCATTTTGCATTTTATTGTTTGGGCGACTTCAGAATATCAAATTTTTCACCAGGCCCGGTCGTCCTGCCAAATTTCATGAGTTTTCGCCAGTGGGAAGTGGGCCATTTTCCAGTTCAAAGGGGAGGAAAAAGAAAAAAGAAAGAAAGAAACAAAGAAAAACCACTTGGGGAATAATAGGGCCTACGCCCGGCTGCTCTGCAGCTGGCTCGGGCCCTAAAGAAACAAAGAAAAACCCCTTGGGGAATAATAGGGCTCTCGCAGCTGCTTAGCAGCTACGCTCGGGCCCTAAAAAGAAGGAAACTACAGGAACAAGAGGGCTCTCGCAGCTGCTTAGCAGCTACGCTCGGGCCCTAATTATATGTAATCAGGGACGGACTGGGGTTGAAATTCAGCCCGAGGTTTAGAGAGGCCTTTTATCTGATCACACGAAGGGCGCAAGTAAAACTGTAATTTTAACACAAATACTTTTTTTTTTTTTTCCAATAAAACCACTGTGTGTGTGTGTGTGTGTGTGTGTGTGTGTGTGTGTGTGTGTGTGTGTGTGTGTGTGTGTGTGTGTGACATCATCCCTGGCCCTGTTTCACCTGTGCTGGACCCTGCCTTCTCCTTTACAACTGCTATAACTGCATAAAAAGAACCTTAGTAATAACAAAGATTAGCAATAAGTCATTAACAAAACAGATATCTAATTTAAAATCCACTGACATAACTGAAGGAGTGGGTAGGCTTATTGTTTCTGTGACTGGAGTTGGAACATCAACATATGACATCTTAATATGATTCTATGCAAAGACTAATTTCCAACCTAGTCCTGCACATTGTACCTGTACTTGGCACTGTTTGTTGTGATTTCTGTTGGTATTTCCTCCATCTCCTCCTTCTCCTGTCCTTCCTCATCTGTCTCTTCCTCCTCCTCACTTCTTTGACTTGCATTATCCTGACTGACACTGGCCTTATCAGCTGATAATAACAATAACAGCAACAATGATAAACTTTATAGCACTTTTGCAAAGAATTCAGTGTTAGAACACAAATACAATATAAAATTCATTCAACATAAGAAAAGTCACACACACACAGTAAATTAATTACTCACTGTCATGTATTTCTCTTGAGCTGGTAAAATGGCTGTATATTAAGGTAGAAACAGAACAGGAAAACGGGATGCCTAGCCTGTATTCAAATATTATCCGTTAACCCTTGAACAAAAACTCTCTACTGACACATTTGTTGCGTTAAAGAAATTCGTGCATTTTCTGGCTCAGCCAGTATGGATTTTATTTCCTATTGATAGAGTAGATTGATGATTTATGCATGTATGGTTTAACATTGATGATAGGCTACCTCTGATGTTCTGTGTGCCCTGAACACATCCAAAAACAGAAACCTGTATGCGAAGTCTTGGATGACAGGGCCATGTCTGCTAACCTGCTGTGGCCGTGGTGCTCATTTAAGTCAGTTTTGCAAATTTGGCTGCATCCTGTACTCATTTCTTTGTTTTTTTGGCCCATAGTTTCTCTGCCCCACCCATTTCTTTTTTCTGACTTATTTCTTTTTGCCATACTTTCTAAACTATCCAGTTCCTTTTTCTTTCTTTCATTCTTTCTTTAACAGGAAAACAACACTTAAATGGCTGACTGAGCAGTTGAGCCAATCACATTTCATTTCTGATAAAAACAAGGATCAGCTCGAATTGGGAGGGGCCGCTCATATCCATAAACACAATATACATATTTTATGTCTATGCTCGTATCCCCCCTGTATGCAAAATATTGGATTGACCCAGTGTTATCTGTGTTATCTGCAGTCCTGGCTTTTAAGGTAGGCTGCTGCGGTCAATGCAGCTCTGTTTTATGGGGTAAAAAAAAAAGAATAATGCTGCAGCCACTGTAACAGAGGGGCCTCAAATCTCCCTGACACCAGCCTGCCCCTGTGTCTAATTCATCACATATAATGAACCAATACATGGTTAACTATATTGTCATCAGCATAAAGGGAGAGTTTATGTCCTTCCTCATTTATCCAAGATCTTTTTTTAACTTTTCTGTATACAACCTGCTAGGAGGTTCTATACACAATGATTTGCCTGCCCCTAGGACAAGCTGATTCTATCTTGTAATGTAAAAATGTTCTCCAAAATAAAAGGGCCCCATTGCCAGAGGACAGGGGCTCATTTAAGTGTCTCATTTTGAATTGCACTTCCCAACCACTCTAACAATGCCCTAGAATTATCCTTAAACTACTATTATTATACAAATACACTACTAACAGTAGAAGAGTGACTTTTACAATTTTATGGACTTCGATTCATACTTTGTATGGCTGGTAATTACTATGTTTTATGTCAAAATTTCATGACACACACAGAGGATGTTGAAACTCAGCGGGCCTAAGTCGTTCCTGTATCAAAATGACTAAATCTTGCCAGCAATCCTGAAACTCTTATCCCTTTTCCAAGAGTTCACACTTGCCTGTATTCCTTAAAAAAAATACAGTAACATTTTTGCCAACATTTTTGGTATTGGTTTTATTACTGACATTTATCAACCACCCATAGGTAACAATCAATTGATGGATGCGTAAGTGTAAATTCTGCAATGAAAATTAAGCTCTGTCAGCTGAAATTGTATGCCTAGTAACTAATTCTTTTTTATCTCTGCAAGTTTTCCTAATAATACTGAGGTTATTCTATTTCCAAGATATATAAATTTGGAAATAGGCTCTTTCTATGTATTTGGGAACTTTAAAGTACCTGTACAATCCTTTTTTTTTTTCTTTAATATGAACAGAGTAGATCTGAGTCATTAAGAAAAATGTCATAGTCACAAGTTAGCTCTAATAGATAACTTTTAACAAACAATTATTCAACTTATATTCACTTTGTTTTACTCCTTACAGAATACACAGAACTCTCTCCAAATTTACAGTAGAGAAAAGATCATTTGTCATAAAATCCAGGAGAAATGTTGTGCATATCTACCAAAAAGGTCCAGTGCATTGCTAACCTTCTAAGTCATTATCAGAATCATAATCTATCAATTGGATTTGGTGCTTGTTCTTGTCTTTTTTCCTGTTCTTCTCTTGTCTCTTCTCCTCCTCTCTTTCTTCTCCATTTATCTTGACTTTGTTTTTGATCTGGTTATTTTTACAAAATTCTTGATGTATCCTAGTTAGAGTTTTTGCTGCTTCCAGAGATACCTTTAGGTTTCCAATCACCTCTGTTTCTTCATCTACACGCACAACTGGGGAAAACAAAGGCACAGGGGGAGACAGAATTTAAAAAAAAAGAAGTATTGTATACCTAGTCAAAGAGACTATAAAGTCATTCTCCACTTGCTAAATCTACAAGAGAGCTGAAAGATATTTCCAGTAATTAATGACTTCCTAACTTCTATTGTCCTGCAATAGAATTTTTTGTACCAGGCACATGTCTTTGTTTTTAGAGTCTATGTATAGTTGCATAAGAGACTATGCATTATTATTGAGGTTTTTCACTCCCAGTTAATAATTATTACATCCACCACAATTCTGGGTGGTAAATAGTTTCTCAATAATATGTCAATTTGATATTTAAACTCTTCCAAACAGATGCAAAAAATATTTAAAACAAAATAAAAAAGACATATTAATATAGAAAAATATAGCATTTTTTTTTCTCTCATGAAACATGAACAAAGAATCACAAAAATACAACACATACTGTCAAGCTGATAATTGATGGCATCATTTCCAGTAAGGAGCAGTTCCTGAAGATCCAGATAGGCGTACCCCACATCCACACATTCCTGGTCACTGTCCATTGGCTCACTAACAACTGTGAACTTCAATCTGCCATACAGAAACACAGACATATCCTTATTGGTGTGGTGGTCCGGGGTGGTCACAACAAAATACAAAAACAAACCAGATTTTGCATAATGTGCAAAATGACACACACGTGACACTACCTGCCCTGGTTGGGGTCGGTTCCCTCCAGCATGGTGTACAGATACTGTCTGAGTGGAGCTGCTTGTGAACCATCTACATAAATCACTAAAAGGGATATAATAATCAAATTTAGGATTTTGCTAAGGGGTTTAGTCATGGAAACTTTCCAGATACAAAAATGAAAAGCCAAACCATCACACTTCCAAACCTCGTGCAAAATTGTAGTGAATCTCGTCCCCCTTTGTTGGCTTACTGAGGGACATTGGTGTCTCTGTTGTCTCCATCGGGATGCCTAACAGCCGATATTCTACATAAACACGTTGCACCATCTTGTCCAGTACCACATGTGAGGAAGGTTCAAACGTCAGGGACAGAATCTCAACTCTCAGATTGTTTCCCTAAAAAAACAACAAAAACCTGTCCTTTACTTGTGTGGATAAAACACAGTGATGTGTCTTAGTATACTCAGCTCATTTAAAAATATTTGCACAGTAATACAGAAATTACATTGAAAATTAAATTGAACAATTTCGTACTTTGTGAATACACATTTCTCATGTACCTTCTTTTTTTTTTGCCTTGCTGGAATAACAATAATGTCGCTTTGTGTGGAACTTGTCTCAGAAGATTCTGAAGTGTCACTCTCTTCTGAGGAGACTGTATTGTAAGAAAAAAAAAAAACATTTAATGTGCAGCCCTTTAATTTGAACTTTGACAGGCTGTGCTGTTAGCCTGTTCCACAAATATTTTGCTACCTATATTCAGAGGGTTTGAGGTCAGACTCATTGTACTAATATAATATTATGTTACCATTATTTTCATTTTTTATTGAGACATTGTGCTTATATGAGTAGTTACTGCTCTTGCTCTGCTCTTTTTGCTCTCCTTTCTCCATTGTGGCATGATCCTAAAAAGAAGAGATAGGTTAATATACTGACCAGTCAGCTCTTAATTTGTGTGTTTTATTTCTTGTATTATTTTATTTTTTTTATCATCAATCAAAAATCATACATTTATAACTAAATATACTTTATTTTCTGTTAAAATCACCATTACATCACACCATTAAATCACCAAATGTCTATGGTCTTGTTAGGATCTAATATGCAACAACAACCCAGAATGTAATAACTAGTTGATAATTAAAAAACAAAAATGCTAAGCCCGAAATCTCATATTAAAAAGTAATGAAACCTAAAATGCAATAGGGGACCCAAAATGTAACAATATGTAACAAGATGTTACATTTGTGCAAACATTTATTAATTTTTGGGTTCTGCATCTTGTTACATTTTGGGACAATAATTACATTTTGGATATTATTACATTTTTTAAATTACATTTTAGGTTGTTACATTTCAGGTCTTTGTTACATATTGGGCTCTAAAAGACTTGCCAAGAGAGACAAATTTTGCCCTTACCTTAGCTCTGGAAGTGCTGGTATAGTTTTTCCTTGTCATTTTGGGAGAAGTTCCCTCTGAAGATCTTCAATAAGATTTAAGAGTTGTTCAATAAATTTTATCTAATTTTTCTTTGAGTATAGGAGTATTTTAGTACCTCTCAACCATGATGATACATGTCATACATGGTTGCCAATATGATACAAAGATTAAATTGGTTAATTTAAAACAAACAATGCAATACAATACAGCATCAAGAAATTAAAGAATCCAATCTTTAGTGTACATCTCAATGTGTGTGAAATAAGAACCTGGATAAACTGCATTGTGTAAGGGTAAGAGTTGATTCTAAATTCAATGTTAATTAAATAATGCTTTTCATATTTTGTTCACATTCACCTATTACATTCCATGTCTCAAAAAAGTGACAGCTTTACATATATATCTCCACTTTTTTGAAACAATGCAGATAAACATTATTTATAGAAGTATGGGCAGATTGGCCAACTGTATCTTGACTCTTGAGATTAGATAACATGGAACTGTAATTTTTAACCACACTGTGTGATCATAAATCTTAACAGATAAATGTTGTGATGGATGTGACGGCTTTAGGCTTCCATGAGTTTGGGCTAAACTTTGCTAAGTTTCCACTAAAAACAAATCCACATAACCAACATTTGCCCAGCTAAACATACAAAAAATTTTTTATATTGATCACAAAATGATATGCTGAAGGGGATATTCTGGTGAAAATCAAGTTAGGGTTAAACACACTGTAACACCGAGTTGGACACCCCCTCAAGAGATGAATGTTGCCGACTGCTTGCTTCTCTAGTTATACCAACTTTAGTAACAACTGCACAGTTAGGTGTGGTTCTAAGCATTATTTGTGGCTATAGAGTGGCTTTTTGGTTGAGATTCGCGTGTGTAGCCAGAGTCCGTTGTGTATTGCTATTGTGCGGTCATTGTTACTAAAGTTGGTATAACTAGAGAAGCAAGCAGTAGGCAACATTCATCTTTCTAGGGGGTGTCTAACTTGGTGTTATGGTGTGTTTGACCCTCGCTTAACTTTACGCCAGAATATCCCTTTAACAGGACATTTATGGGTCATTAGACATCATGCAGTTAATATAACAGTTAACATATCAAATTCGATAAATAAATCATTAAACCATTGATATTAATATTCAAAAAGGTTAAAGGTGTTAGCAATAGGATTGTTTTGGCTGCTATAACACATTCAATTGTCTGACTTAAAATTTCGAAGGAAACTGAATGGCTACATCAGAGAAGATGAAACCTACCATGACATTTTGTAATAGCTTTATCTAAAAAGACTTCTTTCTTTGTGGATCATCTACAAAAATGCTTACCTCCATCTTGCAAAGTATACCAGTCCTGGGTCAGATTTCAGATAGGTTTTCCCCTGCTCAATGTCTGGTATAGTCTTGATGGATTTTTTCCTGTCTGCGTACTGGCAGTCCGCCAAACAAAATAACACACACACACACACACACACACACACATATAAATAGAAATAAATTTATATATAGTCTTTTAAAGTATGTATGTATTTATCATACATCTATATATTTACAGATCTATCAATCTAACAGATTTACAATCTAACAAGAGGACTAAGGGTTCTATTTTCATGCCCGCCGGCGACGCAGAGGAGGGTGGCAGACCCCGCGCAGTGGTGTTTCCGTCTGGCGGAGCCCGGTGCACAGCCAGTTTGGTATTTTCGTGGATTCAAACCTGGTCAGCTTTCAGCGCAGGTGGAGCGCAGCTGGTCTAGTGGTATTTTGGTAGACCGCTGGTGTAGTGTGCATACGTCACCGATGCCTCACCGGCAGGTTTTCACAGTGTCAGGCGCATTTCAGCGCAATAAATAATCAACAACTAATAATCTGAGTCAGCACATACATTTAGATCTATATAGATATATTCTGATCTTTATCTGATCTGATGAGCGCATTTGGCATGCGTTTGGACACTCAACCTGACCGAATTAACACAGCAGAAACCTCATTAAATTAAATTAAATAGACACACATGATGAAGTGAACAAGATATTTAATTTGTCTCCCCCCTATTTCTATCATCCTCTTCCTCTTATTTCTCGTGCAGCTCGACCTAGACATGTCTCCGTGTCCTCTCCCCATCCTGCTGCTGCTGCAGCTGCTGCTGCGACGGCTGAACAGATGATTTGTTTCAGTGATCAGATTAGTTATTTACTTTAAGCCTACATACGAATTTTATAATATTCCGTTTTGTGAGCCAAATTTATTTTATATGCCAACATCAATGTAAGAAAGAGACAGGCAATGGAGCGCGATGCGTCATTTACGCACAGATGGTTCTGATTTTAATGCCATTATTGGAATTTATGTTGTGATCTGTGCACACAACCCACCTTTGTCATGTGAGGTTCAAATATATGCAACTTTATGTGAGTGTCTTTATTTGTGGAAAAGGGTGTTTGTCTTTCCAGTGGGTACAACCTTACACACACCAAATCCATCTGTGCTTATATGAGACAGTGTGGAGGATGCCCTCTGCAGCGCTTACAGCGACACTTGTTGAGGGGCTGCCTTCTGTTGCCATCGTGTGGCATTGCTGTCTTCAGACATCTCTTGATCTCTTTGACTACTTCACGAAAATTGTAATACCCCTCGCTGGTGGTGGATTAAAAGGTGAGGAGAGGAGCGGCTCTGATTGGCGAAAACAGGGGGATACTTACACTCGCCTGCGCCGCTCACCAAAATACCAAAAATGTGCTTGGGCACGCCTTGTCCGCGCAGCGGACCTGACTTATGCTGCGCCTATGCCACATCGCCGGCGAGGAACAAAAATAGAGCCCTAAATGTTACCTTAACCCCTGGCCTGGCTTTTTGCATCTGTGACATTTTAGCCTTCTTTTTCTTCCTTTCTCTGCTGTCAGTGCTTTCCATTACTCTGTCCTTTCTTCCTTGTTTAACCGTTAGATTGTCGAAAGATGTGTGTAAAGGGTATTTCCATTTTATCATGACCCTAACCATGCCCTGAGGAGTACCAGATGGATCCCTCAGAACATAATCACCTAGCAGGACAGAGAGAAAAAATGGTGATATGGTAGTTACTCTGGTCCTCAAGCCAAGACACAATAATTATTGTTAAAAACAAACAGGCAAAGTTAAGGAAAATCACGACATATTACACCCATCTGGGAATGGGTACCAAAAAGTTTTTTTCGTCAATTTGTTAAAATAAAATGTGTCTGATAACACATGTTGAAAGATTTCAATTCAACTTCATTGGAAAATCTATCGCAAGGACCTGATTGTGGTCGCTGTTTTGTGTCTATTTTTAGCACGTTGGAAAGGTAGGTGCAAACTGGCACAGCGTTGAACATAAACTGCTGCAGTCATTGTGGTGAGTAGGAGGCATAGGTGCAATAACAGACAATGGAAAGACAGAATTTTCCTTGTGTGTGTCACCATATTTGGACTGTTAAATATCTATCCAGCAATGCCATTTTTGAGATGCTGAGTGACCTAAGGGCTGATTTGGAGCCACTTACAAAAAGGAGCCTTGTCATATCTCCTATTGAAAAACACTTTGCAACACTGCATTTTCCTGCATCTGGATCATTCCAGTGCACCATCATAGTTTGTGCCGACGTGGCATCTCCCAGAATAGTTATGCTGTCCCAATTGTTGAATGCTGTGTCATGCAGGATGGGCAAGTATTTACAGTTCCCACGCACTTGGAACGCAGTGAATGACACCACACGGCAGGTTTTGGGGACCTGTCGAGTCTTGGAGACATGGGCTGAGTGCTGCAGAGCTCCAAGTCTAAAAGCTTGTGGTTTATTTCATTTTTCTGGTAAATGATAGTTTTCATAAATGACAAGGTCAAACACTGAATAGATGAAAAAAAATTATCGCTTTGTCTGATTGATTTTGAATTGTTTTAATTTTTTTTTGATTTCTGATATATTTCCTTGCATCTGTAAAGCACTTTGAATTGCCTTGTTTATGAATGGTGCTAAAGCCTCCAAATAAACCTGCCTTACCTGCTGTAACATATTGGGCTGGTTTAACGAACAGATGAGAGAAGTGACTTGAAGACGTCTTTACTGGCAGATGACGGCAACAGCAACACAACAGGTTATGGCATGTCTTTGCATTCAGCTTTGGTAATATGTTGGCCAACCATAATCTAAAACCACAAGGGTTATTGCATGTTATACTCAGCAGGTGGCAGAATGGCCACTCTCCTACAGTTTGGTGTTTTGCAAATCCAGTCTCTGTGGTGGTACCCTAACTCTCTCTGGATACCTCTGTTTTACAAGTGAACTTTTGTCTGCTGTGGTTGTCACAGGTGCAGGTTGTGACTCAACAGTATCTTTTGTTGATTCAGTGGGCATGGGCGGTGGTGTCTGATGTATTGGTGGGCCTTGTAAAGGGCTTCTAACAGCACAGTCAACAATCACTGATGGTGTATTCTTTGCAACTGATGGAAACAACTTCAGCGGTCTCTCTATGAGTCCTCTCCATGGCAACAGATGGTCAACATTCAGTCTCTGAAGAATAGTTCCTTGGTTACATTTTTCCTCTCTACCTCCAATGTTTCTGATGTGCACTGCATCTCCATTGTGGAAAACACGGATGGATGATGATCTGTGGTCATGATGACGCTTTTGCACAGATTGTTTCTCCTCAATTCTATGGGCAAGTTCAGGCTTCAGTAAACTGAACCATGTCCTAATTTGACATTTCAGGAAAAGCTGGTGTTGTTCCAGTCATGGTGTGCGGTGTGCTGCAGTACATAAGCAGGAAATTTGCCAATCTATGGCTCAGTGACAGTGATGACTTCTGATCTGCTTCAAAGACATTTTTCCTCAGCCCCTGCTTCCGTATCTGTACAGATTTCGCTGCTGCTCTTTTTGATGAAGGGTGATATGCTGGTACAGGAGTGTGTTTGATTCCATTATTCTCCAAAAACTAAGTGAACTCTCTAGACACCAGCTGAGGCCTATTATCTGACACCAACTCTTCTGGTAGACCACATGAAGAGAACAGGCCTCGCAGCACTTCAGTAGTGTTGTGAAATGTGATCGAAGCCATAGGAATTCTCCCAACCACTTTGAATGGCTGTCAATGACCACTAGAAATACAGTTTGTCTGTCTCTGCAAAATCAATATAGATTCTCTGCCCCACCCTTTCTGGCCATATCCATGTGGGTAATGTTCCAACTGGTGGCATTTTCTGAACAGCTTGGCAAACCTGGCAACCTTGGACTAGTTCTTGAATATCAGCATCACAGTTTGGCCACCAGATGTAGCTGCAAGCAAGAGCATACGATATACCAGAATGCTCATCACAGAGATCTTCCAGTAGTCTCTGCCAATACACTGGAGGTATGATAACTCGTTGGCCCCAGAGAATGCAGCCTTGAACTGCTGACAGATTAGCTGCACAGCCCCAACGGGCCTTCGTCATTCATAACATAAGGATAGCTGGCGTAGTATGGAAACGATTGTGACTCATATCTCAAATTCGAAAGCATTAGCAGAAATGCTTTTTCATTTCGAAGTCATGGCTGCACTATTTGACTCAAAAATCAAAATCAAAAGCAATATTCCAAAATGCTATTTCATTTTCTTCCTCAAGACTGCTCATTTCGTGACTAAATTAAAAAGCAAAAGCAAATCACATTTAACATTTAATTTTCAAAACATTCACCTGCAAAAAGGTAACAAAATTCAATTTGAAATGTCAACTTCAAAAATTCAAAAGAATTAGCAGAAATGTTTTTTCATTTCAAAGTCATGGCTGCAATATTTGACTCAAAAATCAAAATCAAAAGCAATATTCCAAAATGCATTTTCATTTTGTTCTTCAAGACTGCTCATTTTGTGACCAAATCAAAAAGCAAAAGCAAACTCAGAAATGCTTTTTCGTTCTTGCTCGCCCCGCAAAAATTGTCTCATAATTCAATCTGATTCGCAATCTCAAGTGCAGCAGGAAAGTGACGTCACGGACCCCACTCATTCTGGACCCTTCTGGCCGATAGGGGGGAGTGAATCCGTGTATCATTCGTTCAATTGATATTCAATGTAATTAACACAGCCTGTACACCTCTCTTGTTGGTTGTATTCAATGTTTGTGTGGACGTCCCCACAACTATGATCCATGCTTCAAATAAGTAGAAATGAAACACTTGGTGTTAATGAAGATATATGACAAATATTTCCTCCTTTAATGTGGAAAAGCGTCACCACTCGTACTGATCGCAGTCAGCTTGAATGAAATCAAAATGCGGATCACGGCTATCTGTTTCAGCGGACTAACAGACTTTACACTCCTCATTGTTCTCATCACTGATCAATGGATTTGGGATATTTTGCAAATAAAGAATACAACCAACAAGAGAGGTGTACAGGCTGTGTTAATTACATTGAATATCAACTGAACGAATGATACACGGATTCACTGCCCCCTATCGGCCAGGAGGGGCCAGAACGAGTGGGGTCTGTGACATCACTTTCCTGCTCCATTTGAGATTGTGAACTCAGATTGAATTATGAGACACTTTTTGCGGGGCGAGCACGAAAACGAAAAAGCATTTCTGAGTTTGCTTTTGCTTTTTGATTTGGTCACAAAATGAGCAGTCTTGAAGAACAAAATGAAAATGCATTTTGGAATATTGCTTTTGATTTTGATTTTTGAGTCAAATATTGCAGCCATGACTTTGAAATGAAAAGGCATTTCTGCTAATGCTTTTGAATTTTTGAATTTGACATTTCAAATTGAATTTTGTTACCTTTTTGCTGGTGAATGTTTTGCAAATTAAATGTTAAATGTGATTTGCTTTTGCTTTTTAATTTAGTCACAAAATGAGCAGTCTTGAAGAAGAAAATGAAATAGCATTTTGGAATATTGCTTTTAATTTTTTTTTTTGAGTCAAATAGCGCAGCCATGACTTTGAAATGAAAAAGCATTTCTGCTAATTCTTTTGAATTTGAGATATGAGTCACAATCGCTTCCATAGCGTAGCCACTATGCACCAGTTGCTTTCATGGTTAGCATGGCAAGTGTAGGGAGCTCAATTGTTTCCTTGAAAGAAATCCCCTTCAGTTGTCATAGCAATGAGGAAAAATTGGCAACCAAACATCTGTCAGAAAAGGTCAAGAGGCATGAGTTGTCTAAAACCCTCATGGACAGTTGTCTTAAAGGTACTTCTTTTCAGCAGGTTCACACAGGTCTCAGAGGTCCCAGAACAGTCAATTTTAAGTTTGTTGTCTAAAAGCTTTAGACTGAAGATAGAATGGACAGCGTCTGCCTCCCTGTGCAGTGAAGCCACCCCGAGAACAGCACACTCTGGTGACGGGCTGCAGTATAATTAAAAAATCTCACCTCCGCCAGCCATCCTTATGGAGCTGTGGACTAGAGCATAACACGGGAGCAGATTTTCACTCCTGTCCCGTCCCAATCCCGGACCGGAGTAAAAAAAAATGTATCCTGTCCTGTCCCACTCCCGTAGAATGACTCCTACTCCTGTCCCGCTCCCGTTTGAATAAAACCAAACATGTTGAAAAAACATTGCATTTTTTATTTTAAGTAAAAGTGCAGTGCATATAAAAGGCAGTACCTTTAAGTTTCACATGCCTGACATTCGGTCGGTGTAAACAAAGTACATATATATATACAGTTGCGGTTCTAGACTAAATTACTCCCTGGGCGAGACCCCCTCAATTTTCCCGAAAAATGTCATCCTCTACTGTGGACAAACGTTAGTAATTTATCACACAAATTTTTCCCCCTTGCTTCCAATGTTGACATGTAGTTATTGTAAGACTTGTGCTCAAGCCCTCTTTTTTCTGTACAGCTCCATTTTTAAAAGTTATAAGGGGGTTCAATAAAATGAATCCATTGGGCCTTCAAAACCTCAGATGAAGAGGGAGGCATTTTCTGAAAGCAAGAGAGGGAGAGGATAGAATTTTTTCATTTTGGGGGATTTTTTAGACAGGCTGGGGATGCATATTATTGTTAGAAAACCATTCTAAAGTGAATTTTGCACAATATGGGACCTTTAAGTCGTCTGTGCTTGGGCGGATGAACATTACAACGCAGCTGGATGAGAGCTACAGGCTGGCGGATTGTTGCCGCAATGATGAGGTGAGCAAGAACCGACATATCCTAGCCCACCTCATTGACTGTGTCAAGTTCTAACAGTAATAGTTTTAGTAGTAAACTATAAAGTAATAGTTGAAGAGACCCAAGAGGGACTTCAGTTCAGTGATTGTAAAGTAAAATTGTAGTTTGTGGGAAACAGTCTAAATCCCAGACCTCCGGTTATGGAGTGCAGCTAACAGGATGGCAGGAACTTGGCTCATCACTGACTTTCTGGAAAAATACTTGAAAAACGACTTATAGTCTACTTTAAACCCCTTAAATGCTTGAATAAGTGCTGAAGACGGTATGCCGCCAAAAACATTAAATCTGGCCAGCAAACTCTGAAGGTAATAGCACAAAATAATGCTGCTACAACTGATGCTAGCCATGATGCTAACAACGGCCACAAGACTAATGCTAGTGGACCTTCAAACACCGAGATACTGAATGCAATACGCTCACTAAAGCAGGATTTTGCCAAACAGTCAGCCGACATGCTGGAGGCTATTAACAGCATCAAGGGGGATTTGGTGTCCCATTCAAAGAGAATTGGGAAAACGGAGGAGAAGATATCACAGACAGAGGAAGATGTCACCACTCTCCAGCTACGGGTGAAACAACTGGAAGAAACTACAGATACATTGCGCAATAAAGTTCAAGAGCAAGAAGACAGGGCAAGGCGCTCCAACCTGAGACTGGTCAGTCTCCCAGGGAAAGCTGAGGGCCTTGACGTGCAATTTTCTGGAAAATTGGCTTCCTTAGGTACTAGGTGACACTTTTACCCCTACCCTGATACTTGAGCGGGCACACCGGGTCGGCCATATCAACACGAGCCGGTCCTCAGCGCCCAGATCAGTCTTTATTAAATTTCTGAACTGTAAGGACCGTGAAAATGCACTTAAAGCAGCCAGAAGACAGAGGGAAGTGCGCTACGACAACCAGCGGGTCAGCTTCTTCCCAGATCTATCAGCTGAAACAAGGAAGCATAAGTGTCTATTTGATGGAGTGAAGGCGAGACTCGGTGCCCTGAACATCTGCTATGGGCTTCTCTCACCTGGTCATCACCCACAATGACAAGCGCCAGGTCTTCACATCCGTCTCCCAAGCAGAGGATTTTCTCCACAGCATTCAATCCACCGATGCAGCCACTCCTCGAGGATCCCCGAGCTCCGGGAACCGATGAGTATCTTTCCTGACCATGAGCGTCACACTGTCACTATGAGGTAATGGTGCATCTGAAAACCATCATGGTTATATGACGGGAGACTTGTGCTTTGGGCAAACTACCCTTTCTTTACTCTCTATTCACTAGAGCGGACCTGGGCATTTTACAGCCCGACTCTGACCGGCCCGCGAAAGGTTGCTTGGAATTTAGAAAATAAAACCTACTTTTGAATTTTAATGCGTGGACTAAAAAAATAGGATGTAAAAACCTGTTTATTTATGTACAGTGAACGTAGCCTACGACGTCGTATCTGTAATCCGTAAAACAAGTCAATCAGTGCACATGATTAGCGGCAATTGTCACCCCTCAACGATGTACGGGCATGTTAAAAAAAAGAAAGGTGGACGCTGAAGGCCGAAATTTCAAGAAGATTTGGAGCACTAAATATTTGTTTACTGAAGTCGGCGGTAAACCCGTCTGTTTAGTTTGTGGTGAGCAGGTCGCTGTGTTCAAGGAGTACAATTTGAGTCAGCATTATGAGACAAAACACGCAGAGAAATACAGACACTTGGCGGAGGCTGAGAGAGCGCGAATTTCGGAAGACTTGCTAGCAAAGGCTATTTTACCAAGCTACACACAGCCCGGGATGCAGTGACCAAGACCAGCTTTGTAATATCTCACAAAATCGCTTAAAACTGTAAGCCATTCTCGGATGTTGAGTTTGTGAAGGAGTGCTTGGTGGACTCTGCCACGCTAATATGCCCTGAGAATAAAGAAGCATTTGAAAAAAGTCCTGCTGTCCAGGCGAACTGTCACCAGAAGGGTAGAAGGCATCGCGGAGGATCTCAAACTTCAGCTAAAAAGTGGAGTTGAAAGTTTTGACTTTTTCTCTTTGGCTTTGGATGAGAGCTGTGATGTCCGTGACACTGCCCAGTTACTGGTATTTCTCCGAGGAATAAGGCAGGACTTCAAGATTACGGAGGAGCTGGCAGCATTGAGGTCAATAAAAGGAAAGACAACGGGGCGAGATCTGTTCAAGAAGGTAGATGCATTCATGGTCAAGCTTGGACTAAAATGGGACAAACTGGTAGGTGTCACTACTGATGGTTGTCCAAATTTGATGGGGAAAAATGTTGGACTTTTGAAACAGATCCAAGATAAAGTGACTGAACTCGGCTCAGAGCATAAGTTGGTGTTGATACATTGTATTATACATCAGCATGCGTTGTGCAGGTCTGTGCTAAAACTTAACCATGTTATTGATGTTGTAACCAAAACGGTTAACTTTATCAGGGCACAAGCTTTAAATCACAGGCAGTTTGTTGCACTTTTAGAGGAGCATGAGAATGAACATGGTGACATCAGGTACCACACAGCTGTCAGATGGCTCAGTCTGGGCAAAGAGCTAAAAAGATTTTTGGACCTGACAACAGAGATTCAAGAGTTTTGTAAAAACATTGAGGATGAAATGCACCTGGTTTCCTCTCCCTTTACCTGCCGAGTAGATAATGCACCCAGTGACGTTCAGCTAGAGCTCATTGACCTGCAGTCTGACACAGTACTGGCAGAGCACTTAAAGTCAGCATCACTGCTGGAGTTCTAGTCATCTCTCAAGGAGGAGAACTTTCCAAACATGAGGAGACATGCTCAGAAGATATTGGTTCTGTTTGGATCTACCTACATATGTGAACAAACATTCTCAGTGATGAAGTTTACCAAATCCAGGTTCAGATCCTCTCTTACTGATGATCATCTGTCAGCTGTACTTCGCATCTCCACCTCAGACATTCAGCCTTACTTTGATGCACTTGTTAAAGCCCAGCAAAGGCTAGATTTCTCTCACTGAACAAGAAAAAAAATACTGAAATGTGTTCATTTTTACTTTTTGCCTGCACAGTTTTACAATCTGTGAAAAGAAAAAATGTGACATATCTTGTTAATGATATTTGGCATTGTGCTGTTTTAATAGAAAGAAGTGTTTTATCTTGTTAATGATATTTGGCATTGTGTTGTTTTAATAGAAAGAAGTGTTTTAAGGTTAATGTAATTTAAAAAAAGAGTTACAAATGTTTCATGTTTACCATTGTTTTGAAAACTGCACTGAAGAAAATAATTTTTTTTGTGAAAAAAAAAAAAAACCCTCAATTTCTCATTACCTAATAATAATACAAACACTTACCAGTTAGTGTAAACGCCATTTACTGCTTTCAATTTATAATTAAAATGTATACGTAGAATAGAGTTTAAACTTTTGGCCCGGCCCTCCACAATATTTTCTGCTTCTCATTTGGCCCCTTGGGAAAAATAATTGCCCACCCCTGCACTAGAGGGACACCCTTATTTTGAGAAGTACATTCAGGATTGAGAGACGTTTATGTGTCTGCCCTTTTGCGTATGGGTTGTGAGCTACACTGTGCAAACAGGTTGTCTCTTAAAAGTGGCTAATCTGTATTATTATATTACTTATATAATTAGAATTATTATTTTGAGTACCTATTCACATATTTGCTGTTTTCTTTGTTTTTCATTTTTCTCTCTCCCCCTACGGATGTATTTATTGTTTTTTAATTTATTATTAATATTTTTCCCCACAATATTTACTGCTGGTTGAACTTTAAGTCTGTTTTCAATATGTCAGTGAGCCTTATGATGTGGTATGAGCGCATGAGTTACATTGCTCCTCATTGTGTGGATAAAGTGTTTACCATGACCGGAGTTAGTCAATTTTTTCTAGTTCATATGTACTTCATTTGGGGAAGTGCATTAGGCGGGTTTTGGGAGGGAATAAGATCTCGGTGCTATGTCCTTGGTTCTGTGTTTTCAGTTTCTCTCTTCCTCCAAATATGCATACGTTCTATAGATATAAATGACTGCTAGATCAGAGTTAAACATCTCTAGCTGGAACGAAAGAGGGCTGAACAAATTGGTAAAATCGAAACGGATGTTGAACAGAATTAAACAAATGAAGGCCAAAATTATTTTCTTACAAGAAACTCATTTGGTGGACGGTAATATAAATAGCGTTAAAAAGAGATGGCCTGGGCAAGTTCATTCCGCTGTCTTTTCATCTCATGCCAAAGGAGTCATGATATTGATTCATTCATTCGGGAGATTTTTTGTTTTTATTATCATATGATTGACTTAATACGCAAACTGAGCACTTCAGAAATCAGCCCTTTAAAATGACACTTGGACGGTCAGGAAATCCTCCTGGCTGCTTCGCTGACGAGAACCAATCATAGGCTAAACTGCATTCTATTATTCCAATCACGCGCACAGTCTTCACGTGTACTTGCAGTGCTTGGAGAGCCTGTGGTAGCATTGCAAAGCTGCGAGAACGAGAAGCAGGACTTATCCACGCCGGTGTTATGCTTTAGAATGCACCCCTGCTGTAGAATACCCCCCCCGACAAGAGTGCGGTTGAAAGTACATAACAAGGCGAAATAATCCAAGTTTTCAAAAGCGTGTGCCTTAATGATTTTATTCAGGTTATTCAGATAAGCCTAAAACAATAGCCCTCCGATTCAGAATATTTGCTGTCCCGAAAGTATAATGTTCTCTACCTTGACATCTTACGGTACAGTTTATATACCCAAGTACACCTCGATATATGCATTTTTGAGACACATTAAAACAGAGTGAAAGTTTACTAGTAGTCATGATCCAAATACTCATGTCTTTGCAAAATATGAGATCATTTTCTTCCACTTTAAGAAGCTAATGAGTGGATGGGATGCAGGGGTGCATTCTACTGCACAACACCGGGGACAAGGCAGACCAGAGCGTAGCATACACATTTACCTGCATTTACCAGCAGATTGAATTTGGTGAGTTATGGTTTCAATCGTTTTCATATTTTGTGGTATAACAAAGTTACTGCCATTCACTACAGCTTGCGTTGAACACTGCCAGAGCTAGCCAAACCTCCGGGGAAAAAATAGCTCCCGTTTGCTAGATATTAAGTTAGCGTCAAGCTTGTGTAGTTAACGGTAACATAAAGAAGAAACACAAGCTTCTTTCTAATATCTCTGTAATTGGTATTTCGGGACCTGAAAAGGCTTAAGGTGAAGTGGTAAACTTTTTAACACCCCTTTTCGCCGCTGATGTAATTAATTCATTCATTAAAACGAAATGGTTTTGAGCCATCTAAAATAGCGAAAGCGGGCGTCTCGCGTTTACTGCTCTGGCTCCATCCATTGACAAGACGGGGCGTCAATTTTTTTCAGCGCGACATTAGCGTGAGAGAAGACAACAGGGAAGAATGCGTCACAAAAGGCTTGCCGTGTGTTTATACCAAAAGCTACTAAAGCGGTTGTGTAAATCACTATGTTGCTATTATTTTTATATGACTGTCAAGAAACTGTGAGTGCTCAGCAGGCAAAGAAGCAGGCTGCTGAAAGTGAGAAGCGGGCAAGGCTGAGGCATGTGGCCACTCAGCGTAAAAGGCCATGGAGACTCTGGCGGCCCAGGCAAAAAGAAAAAAGAAAAAGTGACCAATTGGACTTGGTATTGGATCTATTGGAATTGCATGTATTGTTCTCCAGTCTGGCAGGGCATACATTGATCTTAAGTGCAGGATGTAAAGTCTTTATTTTTTTTATTCTGTTTTTTTTTCTCTTTAAATTATTATTGTTCATATGGCCTTGTACAAACAGTTTTGAACACCTCTCTCTGACTCATCTAACTCATTTAGCTTCTGTAAAAGTAAACTTTGTTTCGAAATAAAACATGGCCAGCACAAGATGCATGTGGTGTGTGTGTGTGTGTGTGTGTGTGTGTGTGTGTGTGTGTGTGTGTGTGTGTGTGTGAGACTTGGAGTGTTTTTGGCACCTCCTGCAGATCACTGAAACACAGTGTGGGTGGACAGAGCTCAATATTTTGTTGGGTTGTACAGTGTACCGGAAAGTATTTCCTCCGCACCCTTCTCACCTTTTCAACCCCTGACCCATTTTCATGCCTGGGTATATTATACTCAACGGTACCATTGTGTCTACTTAGGTTAGCTTGGTATGTGCTCCTAATGATGATGAACCCTTTTTTTTTTCAAAACCTCTTTCTCTCTATATCATCCCACCCTGGTCAATACATAATTGGTGGTGATTTCAATTGTTTGCTAGATTCGACTCAGGATCACTCAACTGGTACTGATACCTCTCATCAACAAACAAGAAAAACTATCCAAAGGTTTATGGCTGATCTAAACTTAACCGACAATTGGCGATATCTCAATCCTAACGGGAGAAGCTATTCCTGCTTTTCCAGCTCCTATAAAACATACTCTAGAATAGATTATTTTTTAATTTCATATCGACTACTGTCGAAAATTGAAAGATGTTGGTATGACGGTATTCTGTTGTCGGAACATGCACCGATTTCCTTAACAATGGAATTACCCAATATTGTGTCTCCACGACCTAGATTTCACTTCCAGTCTACATGGCTCCAAAGCCTGGACTTCATAAAGTTTATTGATGGGAAAATAGATGATTACTTTGCCATTAATACAAATCAAAGCAGTGCGTCAGTAAAATGGGAGGCATTTAAGGCCTATTTACGGGGTGAGATAAATAGTTACACTACGCATAAATCTTGAAAATATTACTCCCAAATTAACACCCTTGAACACAAAGTTAAAAAATTAGAGCAAGAACTTCATCACAATGAGACCCCAGAAAAACAACAGAGACTTAACTTAATGAAATCCCAGTACAATGAGTTAACCACTGATAGAATAGCTTCCAGTTTGTTGTGGCTAAAACAATCATACTATGACCAGGGAGAGAAAGCCGAAAAATTATTAGAATGGAGGTTAAAAAAGATACAAACTGATAGGGCCATTAACTCTATTAAGCTACAAGATGGGAAAATCCTGGTCGATCCATCTTAAATAAACACTGCTTTCAAAGAGTTTTATGAGAGTCTATACAAATCTGAATATGACTTGCTAAACAGCTCTGGAATACAAAAATAATTCTTAGATAAACTCAACTTTCCAAAAATAACAGAAGAAGCTAAAACTGACCTCAATAGATGTTTGAGTATTGAAGAATTATCGGAAGCGATGGAAGACTTGAGCAGTAGGAAGGCACCCAGGCCCGAAGAAAAGGAATTTTTGCCCCCATCTTTAAGAGCTGCAGTAATTTCCCTCCTTTTAAAGCATTATTAGTATTAAAACTAAGAATCCCAAATGCCTATAGACTAAAAAAGTTGAAAATCAATAACATTAAAATGTAGAATTAAATTATTGTCTGTATATTTTCAAAGGTATATTTGTATTGATAAATTGGCTGATTAAATAAAGTTTATAGTCATATTGCTGGGTAGAATAGAAAAAAATAGATACAGTTGATTGCACTTCTGCTATCAATGAATAAATAAATAGAGTTAAAAGATGCATGGACTAATAATTTAACCCTTGGTTCCTTATTGAGGACATTTGTCATTTTAATTCATCTTTATTTTGAGCTGACAGTTGACATTTTTAAAGATTGGGGCATCAAATTTGGGGAGAGTTCTTATTTTTCTTATTAGTAACAAAAAAAAAATAAAATGCTGTGTCACCGGTCGTATTCCGTTACTGCATTTTAGCTCCATCCAACCTGTAACAGAGCCGACTACTTGTGCATCCCAACCCCCAAAAGAATGTAAGGCTTACATCTGCTCACCAGAGACGAGATAGTGTAAACCTTTGACACCAAATCACAATCTTTCTACAACCTCCTGTCTCTATACAAGATAACCAAAGAAGCCTTCCCAAAACACAAACTTTCTATCCTCTCTACTTCCAAGAGACAAAGACACTGTTTATGGCCAGCAGGAAAGAAATGCAGGACCACTCGATCAGATAAACATCTGTCATCACACCTTGACTGGCCCACACCTCGCTCCTGAACACCACTCACCTCCACTGGAGGAGCCGATGCAGCTGGGTCGATCTCGCCTCATGCCAGCAGAATGGCAGTGGAGGATGCAAGAGGAGCTCTGCCTCTACTGTGGCCGCGGAGGTCACTACCGCGATACCTGCACAGAGGTGCCCAAAAGGCAGGGCTCGGCAGTAGGTCAGGGGGCGCTGGTGAGCCGGGTCTCTTCCTCCTCCAACTCCCATATCCGTGTTCAAGGTATGCTACATGAAACTCACCTATCACATGAGCTGCAGGTACTCATTGACTCTGGGGCTGATGACAACTTTATCGACGAAGCCTATGTTAAAGCTAATCACCTGCCTGTTAGCCCTCTGACTTCACCCAAGGAAGTCCTAGCCATAGATGGATGACTCATAAACACTGTTACCCACAGAACCACCCCTTTAAAGCTGACTCTCTTGGGCAATCATCACGAACATTTAGAATTCTTTGTCATAACCTCCCCACTCACTCCAGTTATTTTGGGTCTCCCGTGGTTACAGCTTCACAACCCCCATATTGACTGGTCCACTTCCACCATTCGCAGCTGGAGCGCTTACTGTCACGTCCACTGTCTCTGTTCAGCGCTTCCAGCCAGATCTCCTCACTCCTCACGCCCACCCGAGACTATAGACCTGAGTAATATCCCTCAGGATTATCACGACCTACAAGAGGTTTTCAGTAAAGACGCAGCCTGTTCACTCCCTCCTCACCGCCCCTACGGCTGTGGGATTGATTTACTCCCCGGAGCTTCCCACCCCACACGAAAACTGTATAACTTGAGTAAACCTGAGAAAGAAGCTATGGAAACTTACATCACTGAGTCGGTGGCAGCAGGCCTCATAAGGCCCTCATCCTTGCCGGTAGGGGCGGGCTTCTTTTTTTGTAGAGAAGGAGGATGGTTCTTTGCGCCCCTCTGTCGACTACTCAGGGTTAAATGACATTACAGTCAAAAACAAGTACCCACTGCCACTGCTTGACTCTGCGTTCAGCCCACTCCACGAAGCTACAATTTTTACAAAACTGGACCTCCGCAACGCATACCACTTACTCAGAATTAAAGAAGGTGATGAGTGGAAAACCGCATTTAATACCCACCTTGGACATTATGAATATCTGGTCATGCCCTTTGGTCTGATCAATGCTCCTGTGGTTTTTCAGTGTCTGATCAATGATGTTCTCAGAGACATGCTACATAAGAATGTGTTTGTCTACCTGGATGATATCTTGATTTTTTCACGCACACGAGAACACGTAGAGCATGTTAGAGACGTCCTTAAGAGGCCACTAGAGAACAAGCTGTTCGCCAAAGCTGAGAAATGTGAGTTCCATGTGTCTACTGTGTCTTTCCTGGGGTTCATCATAGAGAAGGGGCAGCTTAGAGTGGACCCCTCCAAGGTTGAAGCAGTCAGGGCCTGGCCGGTTCCTGAGAACCGAAAACAACTCCAGCGGTTTCGAGGGTTTGCAAACCTCTACAGAAGTTTTATACGCGATTACAGTTGCATTGCTGCTCTGTTGACACGGCTCACATCCACCAACCTTGCTTTTACCTGGTCCCCCTCTGCTCAGGCTTATTTCGATCACCTTAAAAGGCTGTTCACTAACGCTCCTGTCCTTTCCCACCCAGATCCTTCGCAGCAGTTTGGGGTCGAGGTGGACGCGTCTGATTCAGGAGTGGGGGCTGTCCTCTCCCAGCATCAACAGTCTGATAAGAAACTGCACCCTGGTACCTTTTTCTCTCGCCGCCTCACCCTTGCGGAGGTCAACTATGACGTTGGGAACCGCGAGCTGCTGGCGGTGGTGCTCTCATAACAGGAATGGAGGCACTGGCTGGAGAGGGCGGCTATGCCGTTTGTGGTATGGACCGACCACAAGAATCTCTCTTACCTGCGCACGGCTAAGAGGCTGAACTCCAGGCAGGCCTGCTGGGCCCTCTTCCTGGGGCGCTTCAATTTCACTTTCACCTACTGCCCTGGCTCCCGGAACGTCAAGGCTGACATGCTGTCCTGTCAGTTCAGGTCGAGACGATCCTCCCCTCCACATATGTTGTGGGGGCAGTCCAGTGGACAGTGGAGCAGGACGTCCAGGCTGCGCTCAGGGACCACCCGGCTCCGGATGGTGTACCTGAGGGGCAGCTGTTCATCCCACCTGCGGCCAGATCCGCGGTGCTCCTGTGGGGGCATGCCTTCCAGCTCGCCTGCCATCCCGGGGTTCGGCGGACTCTCATGCTGGTGCGACAACGCTTCTGGTGGCCTTCGATAACGGCAGACGTTCGCACCTTCATTACCACCTGCTCGGTCTGTGCCTGCAGTAAGTCCTCTCACCAGGCCCCTGCCAGGCTCCTGCATCCTCTCCCTGTCTTCTCACGCCCCTGGTCTCACATCGCCGTCAAGCTCCGCCTCCCCATGTCCCTCAGGGTGCACCCGGTATTCCATGACTCTCTCCTTAAGCCTGTCACAAGCAGCCCCCTCCAGCCCCCAGCACCACTGCTGCCTCCTTCTCGCCTCATTGACGACCACCCCGCCTATACAGTGAACAGGATTCTGGACGCCCGCAGGAGAGGCAGGGATTTCAGTACTTGGTTGACTGGGAGGGGTACGGTCCCGAGGAGCGTGCCTGGATCTCGCGTTTCCTCATCCTCGACCCACAGCTGCTGCAGGACTTCTATGCTGCCCACCCAGGTAAACCAGGTAGAACGCCAAGAGGCATTCCTTGAGGGGAGGGTACTGTGAGGTACTTGAGTTTATGCAGCAGTTGGGTTTCCTGTGTTCCTTTCCTCTGTGTGTTCTCCCTTTCTCTTTTTCTCTGCAGCGCTGGAGGCATGGCGGAAGGTGGGGCTGGACCGGACTGATTGCACGCACCTGATTCTTGTTGTTGTCAGTTACCTGGCTTTATATGCCACCTCCTCTGTCGACTCAGTGCCGGATGATTTCTCAGTCATGCTACACGTGTATTGCCACGCCGATCTCCCTGATCTTCTGCCCATGTATCCAGCCTACCTCTCAGTATTTATTTGTGAGTTCTTTGGTTTCTTTCTAGAGATTTTTTCCCTTGAGCAAAGGTGATTTTGTGTTCGCGTTTTTTCCTCTAGTTGAGAAGATTTTTTGGTTTACCATTTTCTATTGCACTTTGACTTTTACATCCTTAGTTGTTACTTGCCCCATGTGGCACTATCATTTGAACTTTTTTTTTCACCAGCTATTTACCTTGCTGCAGTGACTCTTTTTCTAACTCTGTTTTTGTGTCTTTTTAGTGGCAGTCTGAGCCAACCATGCCTTTTCCCGGAAACTGCAATTTTCTGTTGTTACTTTGTTCTATTGTTTATTATCAATAAATTTGGGCTTTTGCCTCTGCATTTTTAGATCCTGGTCTTTGTTCGATTCCTAACACATTCAAAAACATTAATCATAGTGAGTGAATATTTGATCTGACTCTTTTACTATCCAAAGTACAAGTTGGATCAAACAATCAGGGATCTTGAAAGTCTCCTCTCAGGAAGCTGCAGCTGGGGATCAGAACCCCCTCTTTTCTCTCTTCACACCTTAGAGACTCTCCCAGTATGAAGAGTAGAAAACCAGTAAAGCTGGGGTGCTCTCCCTCTCTTGCTTCTTCTTCTCTTTTGCCTTTTGCTCTTCACATGCTTGTTTTCTTTTTTTTTGTTTCCGCTAAGTTCCCTCTTAGTTTGTTTTCTCTGTCTTACTTTTTCCTTAGTCTTTTAAGTTTTCTGCCACGTGTTCATTCACGTAGTTTGATTTTTCTTTAACATCGTCTTAGTTCAAGTTGTGAAACTTAAACTTTTTGTGCGCATAGCAATTCAAGATTAAGCCTTTAATTGATTTTACTTTAATTTCGCAAAGCCATTTTTGAAAAAGTTTCAACTGGTCCTCGAGGCTCTTTTTCTTGGTTATCTGCATGATTGCCAAGTCACCTCTCAACGCCACCCAACAGTGTTGCAGTGAGACCAAAGGAGCATCCAAAGGATGATTAAGGCACTGGTTTTTGCATTCAGGCCTGTGTGCTGTGACTCCTGGCCTGTCCTTTGTCTGACTTCGGTCCTCTTCAGAGCTGAACCTCTCGAACTGGTAGCCTGGACCTTTGGAACCTGCTCCTCTCCAAGGACCAGCCTCACTTAAGTATCCAAACCTCCAGAGCTCCAAACAGGACTAATGCTGTCTTAAGCTTAATAATTCAAATAATCACATCCAAATTCATCTTTACACCAAAGTTAACGCAGGTTAATATGTTAGAGCATATTCACTCACTATCATTAACTTTAGTAATCGCCGCCTGACTCAGAATCTTTCGTTCATCTGTTGTTATCTATCCTAATTATCTTATCATCATTTATTGCATGTGTGTTGGATCAGTATTTACCCTATAATAAACTGATCATTGTTTTTCTAAGTTCTTGTCTGTTAGTGTTCTTCCAGAGGTGGAGTCTCAAAAATGAGAATTTTGGCTTGAGATGTGAGTAGATTAATTTAAGATTAACTCAATGTTTGACTTATGAATTAAACTTTTGTTTTTCTTCATTTTCCCACCATTAAAGGTGGGTGGTGCCCCAACGAGTGCATAAATGTCATAAATTAAGATTATTCTCAAATATTAATCTGAAGACATTTATTATACATTCAGATCGCTACACACCCTACTTTGTCTTCAAATCAAACAATAGACTTCCATTAAAAACATGTTTTTTGACCGTGTGTTTATGGCACCATAACAACACATTAGAACCTTTTTTTTTGTAGTCAGTCGATCACCAGGGTTCTAAATTCTACTTTCCGACAGTGATACAAAAGATTGAGCCAGCACATAATTTTAACCCCTTCGGTGCCGCGCACGCAAGTCTTCATTCATGGACTGAGAGTGTTTGAAGCACTATTTCATCCACTAAACATCATCGGAAATGAATGAAACTTTACATGCCACTAGATATTGATGTCTTAGAGTGGGATATGTGTGTAAGGAAAAGTTTGTGTACTCCTGCGTGTATGCACGGGAGCGAATCTGTGTCCATGTTTATGTTTATAACCGGGCTCAACTCTCAACTTCTGAACTCTACACAGTCCAGTTGCCTGTTTTTAAGTCTTCAAGAAAACCATGACCTGGATGAATGAGAATCTACATGGACAACAGTATGATTTAACTTTATTCAATTCATCTATTTTATATTAAATATTTTTTGTTTTTTTTACCTTAGAAGGACACATCCCATCTCAATAAAATAGAGGAAAAAGTCAAGATGAACGCATCTGTTGTGTCTGAGTATATTCCACTCACCTTTGGGCACTATATCATCCTCCATTCAAGTTAGAACATTACACAGTGGAGACAAAACTTGACAGTGATGTTTGTTGTTTTAGTGCATTGGTTATGGCTTTCACTTTTTCTTCAGTTGGGTGCAAGCCTTTTTTGTCAATGAGATGTCACGGATACTCGACACTGCTCTGTAGAAAATTACATTTTGATTGCTTTACTCTAACATTGTGCTTTTCAAGACGTGTCAGTACCTCATCAAGTCTTCTGATGTGCTCCTCCTCTGAGGTAGCTATGATGTGAATATCATCCAAAAAACTTGTCACAGGATCCAGTCCTTGCAGGATTAGTCCATTGACTGACTGGAAAATAGCAGGTGCGCTGGAAACACTGTAGCTGAGGCAATGGTACTTTTACAGGCCATTGTGAATGTTGATAGTCACATATTTTTCCATCCAACTGATGGTAGTCACAAGGGACGTCAAGCTAACTGAATGTTGTACCTCCTGCCAGAGTAGCAAATAGGTCTTCAGTGTTTGGAAGAGTGACCTTCTTGTCCTCAATACACTGATTCACACTGACTTTGTAGTCTCCACATATCCAGATTGCTCTGTCTGATTTGGGGATGGTGACAATGGGAGCTGCCCACTCACTTTTGTCGGTTTGGATATCACCATTGCTTTCTCCAATTTCTCGAGCTACTTCTCCACAGCTTCCTTGAAGTCCCACTCCAATCATTTTTGCTTACTACTTAAGTGTTTTCACTGGTCTTTAAAGTGTGGTTATAAAGTTTTAGCCAAAGTCACATTACCTGTGTCATTTTTAAGGCTTTTCTTCTGCAGAGCTCCAGAAGCTCATTATCAATTCACCTCTGAGTCGTGGTCAGAGACAGCGCTGCTTTGCACACTCCTCTTCATGCCAGTTTTCAGCCTAACATTGCCAGTGCAACAGAAGTGGCAAGGTAACATAGGAGCTATTCAGCTCTCAGACACCTATGTCTTTGGGGACATGATGAAAGTCAATATCATTATTAGCTTTCCTACAAGGACTGCAATCCGCTAACACACGCTTGTTCTGCAATTCTCCGAGTCTGTCATGCATTATAGGGCTCTGGGGGCAGCGCTTGGATTTGTGACGTATGACATCTCACTGTGTTGCAGGAGCTAGCCAGCGGAGAGCCATCAAGTCGGCCAAATGATCCAGGTGGCATTGAGGTGGCTGTGGATCAGGAGGACAGAGGCATGGCTTGTAGGGTAGAGCTACCTGGACCAAGCTGGGGCCTGGTCAACCCTAGCTGGGTCGCCTGGGCGAGGGGATCAGATTGTTGAAAGACACAAAACCCCCCGTGATCTCAGGTTACATCACTGAAGATTTGTCCAGGTGCACCATAGGGTGTATCTAAAAACTCCAGTACTGTCTGCTACTATGATTGAACTGTTTAAAGTCCTGAGGGTGATATTATTTATCCTTTGAATTATCAACAGTGACAGATGGGTCACTGATTGAGTTTCACATGAATTGAAAAAATATTCCCTGATGACTGGGGCTTTTGGATGGATCAATTAATCCAGGCAATATTGGCTATTGTTTTGTGAGAGTATGTAAATGTCACATACAATATAAGGATTGCCTCAAATGATCTTTGGGCTATTACCATAAAAAACATTAATTTTACTTAAATTTAATTTTTTTTATCTATCTGATTTTGGTCATTTAGACTCATGCGAATTTCAAGATAATTGCTAACTTTATAACCATATAGCCATACCACCACCAATTTGCTGACAGTTTAGCCAACTGAATCTATATCCATTCTGATACCTACATCCACATCAAACTAATGTTTTCAAAGGTACCAAAAGTAAAGACTCCTGTAACAACAAGAGTCTGTCTTTGTCTTTGTAATAAAAAATCCTTGTGTTCTGTTTGTTATTGCTTGTCTCCTATCAACACAACTGACTCCAACATGTCATAACATTATACTTTGGCTTATGGACCATATAGAAAAACAGGATATATATCTTTGTAAAAACCATATCATGGTAATAGTGCCTCTGTGTGTTTGCCCCATGACCCTAATTTAAGTCTGAGTATGCATTTTTTATCTCTTTATTGTACCTCTGATTTGTTGGCCAGAAGCAAGGACTTGCAGTGGGATGGGAGTCTTGGCGAGATATGCTGGTGGTATCTGGTTTTCACTGTCATCAAACAGGTAAATCCACAAACTGCTGGACCTGGCGAAGAACACAGTCAAAAGCTGATCATATCGGTAATGTTTAGTTAATTATGAAAATAGTTTAATAAGATTTTTTTGTGTGTGTTCGGGTCTAGGCTGTCATACCTCAGATAGTGCAAAACATCAGTTGTAACTGCTAGTGGATATCTAGCAGTGTCATTAAATACTGGGTCAACAGTGCACTTGATTGTTTGTGAGACATGAGGTGGCAGGTCATAGAGCCTGTATGTCAGGTAGGCATTGGGAAGAAGTCCCGACCACCGAGTATTAAGGCCAACACAGCGTTCCAACGTAACTTCAAGCTCATTGGGGATCCCCCCACCATAGTCATATATTTTCTGTAAACAGCATTAAAGATCGTTTTCTCAGTTTGATTTTTGTATAAATAGTCATATATCATATATCATCCTTTGTGCTCATCGTCAGTTGCAAATTCTGAATCATAAATCAGTCTTTTACCCCATAAGCAGCACTTTGCCAGCCAAGACAGATCTGTGTAGGATTCTGTATAGCTGTTCTTTCAGTTCCTGTCTCTCTCATGGGTTCGATGGGCTCTGCAGAGCAGAAGAGGCGCACCCAAAAATCCACGACGCCAACAATTTCACCCTTGTAACCTTGAGCAGACAGAAAGCAAGAATTGACTGAAAAAATGGTAACAGACATACATGGTGCAACGACTACACAGAGGAAAAAGCAAAAAGCAAATTATACTTTCTATATACATATATACATTATGTTTACACTACTCACCAGTGATGTTGGCACATATATTTATTTGCTCCCCCCTCCTTTCTATAGCATCCGTAAAGGACATTTGCCCACTTCCATGTGTCAGAAACCTGACCCCACCTAATGCCTGGTGGAGCTCCACTTGGACCCTTGACCCCTGACTTTCCAGCCTGCTTAGATCTTGGGCTGTCAGAGCATAGTGGGATGTAAAGCTGTAGCTGGGTTTGCTTCCAGGAACCAGGGGAGTTGAGTGTGTCTCAAAGTCTAAGAGGCTATATGTGCAAAAAGTTATTATGTCTTCACCTCCGTCTACCACTCCTGGATGGTTTCTAACCATAACACGGAGCCCTGATGGGGTAAAAGTTGCAGCCTGGATATGCAAGACAGAAATTTACACTTGATAAGAGAAAAAAATCGTTTTTTTTAATTAAAAAAAAAAAATGAACAAAGTCATAATGTTGTTGACCTTCAGGTGGATCTCCAGCAGTGACTCCCCAGCCCTCAGTTGAGAACTGGTTTCTTCAACTGGCTGTTCCACATCCAGGTTTGTGGCTCGCCCGGTGCACTGCACTGGTATACTTCGTTTATGGCTGTGAGCTAATTTTCTGACCTGAGCTGTTAGATAGAAAGGAAAATAGGGAGTTTTTGAAGTTGCAGTCTTTTTTTGTTGCACAGTTCTTTTTTTGTTGTTGCACATTTTTTAAAATTTATTTATTTTTTTATGTTGTTGTTTTTTGTTTTTTGTTTCAAAATATCATTTAACATCACAAATTTTGTTTGGTTTTCTTGCCTTTCTAGATTCTACGTAAGTGTGATAACTCATACCTTGTAAACTGTCAATCTGAAGCAAACTTTTTGATACAAGATGTTCTTTTTCTGCCACCCTCTTTCTGTTCTCCTCCCTTTCTTTCTCCATCTTCTGGTTAACAGTGTTCAGCTCTTCCTTGACAGCAAAAGTTCAGCACAGAGGAAGTTAAATTAAAATGAGTTACACAAAATGCAATGAAAGCAAAGACAGCTTTTTTTTATGTACCTGCAGGTTTTTGCTAATATTGTGCTCCAGTAGTAGAAGGTGTCTAGTTTTTTGTAACTCCACAACAGTCTCAGCATGAGATCCCTGAATATTTGTCATCTCATACAGGGCATTGACCTTCCCATCAGCTGAGAGAAATTCCAGCTGTGCTCTGCTCTCTTGATGTATCCTATATGCCTGTTGTAAGGGATAAGAATTATGCAACAAATTATCCATCATATATCATCATACCTAACTATCACACACACACACACACACACATATATATATATATATATATATATATATATATATATATATATATATATATATATATACTGTATATGCATATGCATCCTCAGTATGCATTTCCTTTATTCTCATTACTATTTAAATTGTAGATTCTCAGTGAAGGCATCAAAACTATGAATGAACACATGTAGAATCGTGTGCTTAAAAAACAAAGTGTGAAATAACTGAAAACATGTTTAATATTTTAAGATTCCTCAAAGTAGCCACCCTTTGCTTTTTTGATAGCGCTGCAAACTTTTGCTGTTCTCTCAATGAGCTTCATGAGGTAGTCACCTGAAATGGTTTTTACTTCACAGGTGTACCTTGTCAGGGTTACTTCGTGACTGACAGAGTCAGTCACCAAGTACTTCTGTCATCAAGAGCAAAGGGTGGCTACTCTAAAGAAACTAGACTATAAAACGTGTTTTCAGTTATTTCACACTTTTTTTATAAGTACAAAATTCCGCATGTGTTCATTCATAGTTTTGATTCCTTCAGTGATAATCTACAATGTAAAATGTCATATAAAAAAACAAAGAAAATACATTGAATGAGAAGGTGTGTCCAAACTTTTGGCCTGTACTGTATATATATACCGTATTTTTTCACACTATAAGGCGCACTTAAAATCCTTTTGGCTTGTCGGAGCACTGCAGCTACTGTAGCCTCGCAGAGTTATTGACTGTTTTGTTTGGCTTAATGCGCTTTATAATCCAGTGCGCTTTATAATCCGGTGCGCCTTATGTATGAAAATAGACGTGTTCATTGATGGTGCGCCTTTTAATCAGGTGGGCCGTATAGTGCGAAAAGTACAGTATATATATATATATATATATTGATATTTACCTTGATCTGCTGGAGTATTTCACTGAGCTCCTCCACACTCATGTCAAACTTCTAAAAAGACAAGGTTGAAAGTTACCAAGGTTATGTGAGGTTACACACACCATTCACATCACATTGTTTGAAAAAAAAGAAAACTGTAAAATTCAGTTGTGAGTTGTGTTCTCTGACCTTGGTCACAAAGTCTTGCCTGTGCTGCAAAACAGAAATCTGCTCTTTGTAATGAAGAACATCCTGTTCTAGTTGTTGTTGCTTGTCTTCCATCAACACAAGTGACCCTATACAAAACAGCACACAATATTTATGCACTTTAAAAGGGAAGTTGTAAGTTATTTTTTTATGTTGCATTATGTGCCTGGACAGTCTCTTGGAATTGGACATTATTATTGCACATTATTTGAGTTATTTTAACAGAGAAAATGTAAGTCTTTCGAATTAAAAAAAATATCTAGTCCAGGGGTCAGCAGCCCATGGCTCCAGAGCTGCATGTGGCTCTTTTATCCCTCTGCTGCAGCTCCCTGTGGATTTGTAAAATAAATAATAAATATTTAATTTATTCAATTTAAATTTATTTAATTTTAGTTAGTTTTTCATGTAATTTCTAAATTCCAGGATTATGATGCTCTTGTAACATTGGATATACCATGTTTAATTTTTTTTTGTTGCTCAAAGTATGCCTCATAACTGGTCACTTCCTAAAACCGAAAACCTGCGTGAAGATGAAGTTGACGTCATACAGCCCTGATCTAGAGACGCTATGTGCTGAGGTTCAGGAGTAAAAGTCACATTGAGCAAGAAATCGGCTATTATTTTTCAAATATATATTTTATATTCATCAATTCTTACTTTCTTATTCAGTGAAATAGTGTTTTCTTATTCAGGTTGACAGCTGACTGCACACTCTAATACAGGATGCATGCTTTTGTTTCTAAATATGGGATGATTCAATTTTTCAAGGGACAGTTGGCAACCCTTGGCTATTCAGCTCTCGGACACTGATGTCTTTAGGGGCATGATAAAAATTAGTTTTATAATAAGTTTTCTTACGAGCATTGCAAGCTTATTCTGCAATTGTCCTCTCTAGTCCTCTGAGTCTGGCCTGCATAGTGGGACTCCAGGGGCTTGCAGATGCAGGATATCCCACTGTGTCTGAGCCTGCCATTTGGGTCTGCCAGAGATTCACAGATTCACAGAGATTTGAATGCTGAAATACTAAAAAAAAATGCAATTTCGAACTTATTTTACTCATGATATGTCCTGTAGCATCAGAAAAATGCCATGTGAACATGTAGACATCAAGAAAAACATGATCTTCATCAGAGTGGGTCTTTAATGTTAGTTCAAACTGTCCAAAATATTTTTGTTTGCCCGCAGAATTAAAATTTCATTTTCTCTGCAGCAGGACATTGATTTTGTAAATGCAACACACCACAGTATTTTTTTATATACTTCGCATGAAGGAAAAAATGGTATCTGTAGTGTTATCTTCATTTTAGATGTCAAAGGGGTTTAGTAGGTCCCTTTGTTTTCTTTTCTGTGGGAAATTGGTCCAAATGGCTCTTTGAGTGTTTGAGGTTGTCAACCCCTGCCCTAGACCAAAACTGGATTAAAATTCTTTAGAAAGTCTTGTTCTCAGTCATCCACATCCCCCCTCAAAGACCATGAGACCATTAGTATTTGCTACAGTTTATAGCCCTCCCAGCCCATACTAAGAGGTTTTGCCAGAATTCTCAGAGTTTCTATCTGATCTAGTCCTTAGTGCAGGCAAGGTCATTGTTGTAGGTGACTTTAATGTTCATGAGGATGTGGAAAATGATAGCCAAAGCATTACTTTCTTGTCTTTGTTAGACCTACATGGGTTAACACAGTGTGTACATGGACCTACGCACTGTTTTAACCACACCCTCGATCTTGTCCTGGCTTATGGCCTTGAAGCTGAAACCTTGTCAGTCAGCTCATTAAATTCCCTTTTATTGAATCACTTCTTAGTAACTTTTGAATTTGTGCTATCAGGCTATTCTCCTCATGACAAAACCGTGCTAAATCGAAGGTTGTCTGAAAGTGCTGTATCTAAGTTCAAGGAGGCAATTCCATCTCTGTGCTTGAGAATAACTTAACTGATAGCTCAAACTTGAGCATAAGTCCTTTGCAACCTAATCAGTTCATTGATGATACCTCAGGCTCATTGGGTGTCATTCTTCACTCAGTTGCTCCTCTTCGACAGAAAACTGTTCAACGCCTCCGTGGTATAATGCTGAAGCTCACACTCTCTGGCGGGACTGTCTTAATAAATATAGGAAGGCCTTGCAACAACTTACTACTCCTCCCTTATTCAAGAAAATAAGAATAACCCCAGGTGTCTCTTCAGTACTGTAGCCAGGCTGACGGACGGTCAGAGCACCGTTGAGCCATGTATCCCTTTAGCCCTCAGCAGTGATGACTTCTTGAGCTTCTTTAATGAAAAAATCTTAAAAACAAGAGGTAAAATTAGTAATCTCTTGCCTTCAACAGATGTTTTTATCTTAGATAACCCTGAAATTGTGGAGAACCCCCAAGGCCTCTGGTGCACCTTAGTAACTTTGCACCTATTGACCTCCCAGAGTTCAATTCAGTAGTGTTAGCAGCCATTCATTAACGTGTCTGTAAGACCAATTCCATCTAAGCTGCTGAAGGAAGCTCTTCCTTTAATTAGTACATCTTAACTTGATCAATACGTCTTTACTAACAGGATATGTTCCCCAGTCTTTTAAAACTGTGTTGATAATACCTCTCCTTAAAAAACCTACTCTTGACTCAGGCACCTTAGCAAACAACAGACCAATAACCAACCTTCCCTTTATTTCTAAAATCCTAGAGAAAGTTGTTGATCTACTTTGTGACTTTCTTCTTAACAGTTTATTGTAGGATTTCCACTCCGGATTTAGTCCACCACAGCACGGAGACCGCTCTGCTGAGGATGAGACTCATGGCCTCAGACTGTGGTTTTCTCTCTGTTCTTGTCCTCTTAGATCTTAGTGCTGCATTTGGCGCGATTGACTGCCACATCCTGCTACAGAGACTTAAACCAAGATAGAGCGGCTCCTGCTATGCTGATTGATTGTTCCTATCTTATCTATTGGATTGATCTCACTTTGCCCATGATAATCATTTTGCGATCACTTTGCTTTCTTGCTCTTTCACTCGGCTCTCCCCCTGCTGTACTCTGCTCTCCTTCACTTTGCTCAACTGCTCCTCCCTGTATCATCTCCAGCTCCTCACCCATGCTGCGTCTGAATTGCCCGCTCGCATACTACATACTACTGCTAGATCCTACTCCTACATACTAAACACGTTGGCCCAATTCGGACACACTAGACGAGTGGTGGGGAAAGACGACCCCCGCAGGCAGAGAGTAGGTACTGTGCCCGTGCAGACAGTTTTAGACTCTTTGAATGGTAATTGTGCAAGTGATGGATGCTGCTGTATTATATTCCTGCACTGCTTTAGAAATTCACAAAGTAGCTTTTTCATTACTTTTAGCCTTCATTTACTCACGTGGTGATTGTTTGTTCAATGAGATCTGCCTGATTACTGCAGCTGTGCAGTTTAATGATGGAATAAGTGAGCTTTACCTCCATGATGTTGCCACATATTTACTCATAAAATGATTACTTGGGCAAATATGACACCATGACATGACAAAGAGATACAACCGTACATTGTTAGGACAGTGTGTGAAGTTACATGAGACTTACATCTGTACTGCTGCGGTCCTGCCTGCTGCTGCTGCTCCGCCATGGTGCGCGCTGCTGTGGCCAGCTGGCATTCCCGATGCATCTAAATAGGCAGCAGCTGGTGGCACTAGCATCACATGCGCTTCTACAACTTTTAAGAGGACTTAGAAGAAGCCCGCGGTGCATTTTGGGTCAGTAGCATGCCCGTAGGTTGCACCGCGACCATACTACAATGTGGGTGTGTCTAGTATCTGAAGTAGTATCTAAAGTAGCATGCTACTCCCCCCGTAGCCAATTCGGACATGCTACATACTACTTCGACTACTACTTGGACGCAGCACCAGTGTTTCTCCACTGCCACTACCACCTCATCAGCCAAACTCCAATCACCTGTGCTCTCCACCACACCTGCAGCTCATCTCTGATCATCAGCCCAGGTATTTAAGATCCAACTCCACACACACACAAGTTGCCTGATTGTCTTTGCATTATGCAAGCCCTTCTAGCACTCTCTCCCGGACTGATCTCCCTGTTGGTGGCCTGGTCTGTTTCTGTTCCTGCCTGCTCGCCTTGCCCTCAGATTGACTGTAAGGTTTCAACCTGTTTCTGCTCTGACCCTGTCTGCTCGTCTGATCCCTGGCAATCAACCTTGCCTTCCATCCTTGACACCAAGTTGCCTGTCCATGAGACTCCTGTCTACTGGTTTCCTGAACTCTCGTCTGCCCCCCCGACTCTCTGATTGTTTGATCCCTGGCTGTTGTTCACCTGTTGGAAAGGACCTGTCCTCTCCGTGTTTTCCATGCACACAAATGTATGCGCCCTCATATACATCATGATACTAATCTACTTACTGATGTCGAGATGTAATCGGTAACCAAAACACTGGAGTCTGGTCTATTCATTCAGCTGTGCTTCCATCACCATAATGGATGTGTTGACCATCGTTATGCAGACACAATTTAAAGTTGAAGCACTCATCCCTGATGTTTTGGCCATTTAACCATCTTACATGGCTTTGTGGTGTTTTTTAAGAGTTGATAAGGGTTCGTAGTTTTACCTCCTGATGTAGCAACAGCAGCACAGCATGCTGCCCAGCGGCATCTTTTTTAGCCAATATAAATCCACACAACTGCTGCTCTGTGGTACTAAACTTTTTGCAGTATCAGCTTCTGTCAAGCATTAGCCCAATAAGCCCATAGTGCAACAGTGTGCAAAGTTGACTTCTCTACCCGCCTGCTGCTTTGCTCCACTTGCTCGCACATCATGTGACCAGATTACGTGACAAGCCAAAACCGCGGCCTTTGCAGTTAGAAAATCTCATTCTATTACACTGCAATGTTGGTTTGAATTCAATTAATTAATCGTTCAGCCTTTATACAGTCTATGGTTGAAGGACTCTGGAACTATTTCCTTCTCCATGCCCCACCCCGGGCATGTAGCAGAGCACTGTAGCAGCACTGTGCAGCTCCTTCAGTGAAAGGGTTCTTTATCCGTGGTGTGTGACAGAGACAAACCACAAGTCCGTTCTTCCTACTGCAGTCAGACTGCTTAACCAGGCCTTCTCCCGGCAATCCAGGTTTGTCTAGCACAACTAAAGGACAGTAAGTCAATGCTATGTGCAATATTGATGGACAAGAACAGGGGTCAGCAACCTCAAACATTCCAAAAGCCATTTGGACCATTTTCCCACAGAAAACAAAAAGGGAGCCACAAAACCCCTTTGACATCTAAAATGAAGATAATACTACATATATCTTTTTTTTTTTCCTTCATGCAAAGTATGTAAAAAACTGCAGCATGTTGCATATATGAAATCAATGTCTTGCTCCTGAGAAAACATTTTATTTCTGCAGGCAAACAAAAATATTTTGAACAAACATTAAAGAACCACCCTGATAAAAATCATGTTTTTTCTTGATGATTACATATTAATGTGGCATTTTTCTGATGCTACAGGACATATCATGAGAAAAATAAGTGGGAAATTGATACATCCTCATGAACAAATATGATACTAACTTTTATCATGCCCCTAAAGACATCAGTGTCCGAGAGCTGAATAGCGACGGTTCGCCAACTGTCCCTTGAAAAACGGTATCATCCCATTATTAGAAACAAAAGTATGCGTCCTGTTCTGGAGTATGCAGTCAGCTGTCAATCTGAATAAAAAAATCACTATTTCACTGAACAATGTAAGACAAATATTTGCAAAATAACAGCAGATTTAGATATTAAATTTACTCGCTTAATGTGACTTTTACTCCTGAACCTCAGGGGCTGTGTGACGTCACCTTTATCTTAATGCAGGTTTTCGGTTTTCGCAAGTCAGCAGTAATGAGGCATATTTTGAGTGACAAAAAAATTTTAAAAACACAGTTTATTTAATGTTAGAAGAGCATCATAATGCTCGAATTTAACTAAAATAAAATTCATTTAAATTAAATATTTATTATTTATTTTCCAAATCCACAGGGAGCTGCAGCAGAGGAATACCCTGGAACCACGGGTTCTTGACCCCCGGGCTAGATATTTTTGTTCAAATGCCAAAGACTTACATTTTTTCTGTTAAAATAACTCAAATAATGTGCAATAATAACATCCAGTTCTAATTTCTCACTGTATAGAACTGTTTTGAGTTTTTTTGTTGTTGTTTGCTTTTTTCTCATTTTCTGTACACAATTTTTTGTATAGGTCTGCTGTTATTTATTTATTTATTTATTTATTATGTTGTCTGTACATTGTGTTGCTCCGCTGATCTTTTGCTGCTGCAACACTGCAAATTTCCCCACCATGGGATAAAAAGGCTTTTCTTATCTCTTCTTATCTTATCAAATGGTTACTGTGGTCAAATTCTTACCTCTGTCTCTCTCCCTTTGTTCTTCCAATATCTCCTTCTCACATTTCAGATTCTCCTTTTCCAATCTCAACCTCTCTTTTTCTTCCCTCTCCGCTTGCAGGTTCTCCACTATCCTTTGGAAGTTACTCCTGTTGACTTTTTCTTCCTCTGACCCCCTGATCTGGTCAACCTCTTTACATTTTTCCATCTGGTCATAATGGTGTCTTTGAGCAGCTGTAGTACTAGCAAAGGAAAAGGAAGAGTAAACATTTTCTACAAGGCAACTTGCATTGAACAGAGACTGCTTTACACCTGACAGAACCAGAATCTTACCTCTCCAGTAGAGTGTCATAGTTTTCTTTTATCAAATTCCTCTCTCCCTCTAGATCGGTTATTTTCTCCTGTAGCTGTGGGAGAAAGAATTTTAAAGCCTTATCATAAACAGTGATTCTTGTCTTTCTTGGACTAGATGTTTATAAAGTGCATACCTTGTTAATGGTCATTAGAGACAGAGTGGAAGTGGTGCTTTCACTTTCTAGTGCTAGTGTTCTCTCTTTCTCCTGTTTCAGCTGCTCTGCCAATTCCTCCACTTTCTCCAGCAGAGCTACATGACTTTTTCTCAGTGATCTCTGACTCTATGGTGAATCAAAACACACACACACACACACACACACACACACACACACACACACACACACACACACACACACACACACACACACACACACCATTGCTTAGTCTCCCAGACCCAACACATACCAGTAATTAAGAGGATGAGGGTATGGAAGAAGACATCTGTTTGAGCTTAAAATGCATCGAAGATGTCAACAACTAGCAAATTTACTTGCTCAAGCACCAAACACAGAAAGGAAAAACTGTGGCCAAGTTGTCTTTACAATTAATGCTGGGAGTGTAAAATACTGCACGATTAAGGACTGCTGTCTCCATGTCCCACAAAATGACATTGATATCCTAATGTACTGTTTGTTGGTACAGTCAGTGGTACAAAAAACGCCAGGCTAACACAGCTGGTTAACAGCCTGTTCATTACCTCTCCATGTTTTATGCAGATGCAATGCAGATGTTTGTCATTATACAAAGTAATTAAAATGAATTTTTTCCACAACACTTCACTCATTGAAGACTTGTGCTTAGCCATCAGCTTGAAAAGTAAATGCTATGTTATCATCCATATCTAATTATGTCGGGGGGGTATGCATTTTTTTCAGACTCTATATGTCCTTTCTGATACCTCTTTATCCTAAAATTTCTCACAGTGGTGTATTAGAATTTGTTTTAGCTGCTGTCTCTTTAACCCTTCAACAAGCCCACTTTCTTCTGATCTCTCCAGAGGCTTTCCAGGAGCTGGCTGAGGGCAGAGCTCGGTGTTTTGGCTCTGCTCCCTCTATTGTGGTTGATCAGCTGAGCAGTAGAGCAGTTACCCCCATATACATCATATATCTTGGGCAGGGGGTGGCAACCTCAAACACTCAAGTCATTTGGACCAATTTCCCACAGAAAAGAAAACAAAGGGAGCCACAAAACCCCTTTGACAACTAAAATGAAGATAACACTACATATATTGTTTTTTTTTTCAGCATCAGTCGTTTGCAATGCTCGGAAGAAAGCTTATTGTGATACAAACTTTTGTCATGCCCTGAAAGACATCAGTGTCGGAGAGCCAAGGTTTGCCAACTGTCCCTTGAAAAACGGTATCATCCCGTAATTAGAAACAAAAGTATGCGTCCTGTTCTGGAGTGTGCAGTCAGCTGTCAATCTGAATTATAAAAACACTATTTCACTGAACAATGTAAGACATATATTTGCAAAATAATAGCAGATTTAAATATTAAATTTACTTGCTTAATGTGACTTTTACTCCTGAACCTCAGCGCACAGATCAGGGCTGTATGACGTCACCTTTTTCTTAACGCAGGTTTTCGCAAGTCAGCAGTAATGAGGCATATTTTGAGTGACAAAAAAAATGTAAAAACATGGTTTATTAAATTAGAAGAGCATCATATTCCTGGAATTTAAAATAACATTAAAAAAATTAACTAACTTAAATAAAATCAATTTAAATTAAACATTTATTATTTATTTTCCAAATCCACACAGTGCTGCAGCAGAGGGATAAAAGAGCCACATGTGGCTCTGGAGCTGCGGGTTGCTGACCCCTGATCTTGGCTTTAATGTGTATATTATGTCCATGGTTTCCCCGCTCTGCTGTGGGTGTCACTTCACATGCTGTTGGAGCTCAGATGAACTAGTAACGAGAGTCTATAATTCTTACATCAGACTTCAGTAAATCTCGCACACTAACCACAGTTGCATCTTTGCACATTTGATCAAGATTCGACCGGTTTTCAAGTACTTTCTCAGATAATGAAAAAATACGTTTACCTTGTGATTTAAAACTCTGCATACAGTACAGGCCAAAAGTTTGGACACACCTTCTCATTCAATGCATTTTCTTTGTTTTCATTACTATTTAAATTGTAGATTCTCAAAACTATGAATGAACACATGTGGAATCATGTGCTTAAGAAAAAAGTGTGAAATAACTGAAAACATGTATTATATTTTAGATTTCTCAAAGTAGCCACCCTTTGCTTTTTTGATAGCGCTGCAAACTTTAGCTGTTCTCTCAATGAGCTTCATGAGGTAGTCACCTGAAATGGTTTTTACTTCACAGGAGTGCCTGAAGTAACCCTGACAAGGTACTTCTGTCATCAAGAGCAAAGGGTGGCTATTTTAAAGAAACTAGAATATAAAACATGTTTTCGGTTATTTCACACTTTTTTTATAAGTACAAAATTCTACATGTGTTCATTCATAGTTTTAATGCCTTCAGTGACAATCTACAATGTAAATAGTCATATAAAAAAAAAAGAAAAGACATTGAATGAGAAAGTGTGTCCAAACTTTTGGCCTGTACTGTACATGTAGAATAGACACAAAACTTTGTAACTTTGCTTTTTTTTTTTTTTTTTTGTCAATGTGAAAAAGCATAATACGCCCCCTTTAAAATTTGTATTTATTCATATCATTGGCTGTGCAACTGAAAATTCCTCAGAGAAGGCATGTCTTCAATAAACAATTGTTTGTCATGCTATTATACACACACACACACACACACACACCATACACACCCACACACACAAATTGTGCGTTTATGAGTGAAAAAATAGAACAGAAATAAAAACATACCTCCTGAAGTTGATTCTCATAAGCCTGCAAGAAATAGATAGATAGATAGATAGATAGATAGATAGATAGATAGATAGATAGATAGATAGATAGATAGATAGATAGATAAGTAAATCTAAGTAGATAGGAATGATATGACGTACACCTGCTTAATTTGTTTGTTTTACACTTTCATACATAAATTCATTTTTTGCATTAGGGCCATCAATGTTAATTGTGATGATACAGGTAAATAATTGATTTGGTTTTTTTTTGGTAACTCTGCAGCAAAATAGGGGTAATATTTTCTTGAATCACTTGTTGCTACTTGCCCTAAAGTAAAAAACAAAAGAAATCTTTGTCACGGCACCATTCATCAGCAGTACTGTATACTTTCTGCTGCAGATGTGATTGAAACTAACAACACAAATAGCAGACTTTTGAGCAGTTCAATCCACCCATCAAAAAACATTTTAGTGCCAAAAAACATTTTGGCACTCCAAGTTACCACTTGACACTAAGTGGTTAATTAGACTGATGTTAGTGGGCAACCATGTCACACAGGCAACTGGCAGAGCATCTTTCTGTAGTGTGTAATTTACCTAAGACTTGTTGACAAGTCTATATCAAAGAATTTAACTGAAGTGTCGATAAGAGGGTGGGAACTGATTGCACACCCATCAACATTATGAAAGATTCAGGCCATGCTAACTCAGATTAAAATGATATTTCTGGTCATTTGTCTCACAGTCACAGGGGACAGTCGTTTCAAGCAAGCAGGACTTATGTAAAACAGAGAAAGCAACTAAACAGTGACTCCCAAAAGTGGAAGTGTTGTTGCACTAATTTGGGATCATAATACATTAATGAGTAATCAAAATTATCTCAGAATAACGGCGCACCATATTCACACTGATTAGACATTTCACTTCTTTGCTTGAAAAGTTTAAGCAGAAGAAGAACGGCACTATCATAGACTATATATACTATGGACAACTTGGGACCGCCTCCCGCCAGTATACGGATTTGAAGCCAAAAAGCTCTTGGGATTTCCGCGACTTTTCTTAATTTCCTGAAACCAGCATTGCGCAGTAGCGTTGTAGGCATTCAGCGGGAGAGTCGCTGAGAGTTGCTGTGATGACGCTCGGCTCAAACAGCGTATCCCCCCCGGGTGAGCTACACAATCTTAGAACGCCCATAGGCTGTATCAAGTGTCAGTTCTAGAAACCTTAAACCCCTTATAACTTTTAAAAATGGAGGTTCACAGAAAAAAGAGGACTTGAGCACAAACCAGTCTTACTGTAACTACTATACTGTAACTACTACTGTAACACCGCAAGCAACTCCATCAGCTTTGCTGGCGGAGGGGGGATTTATGACCTATACTGCAGCCCGTCAACAGAGGATGCTGTTCTCAGAGTGGCTGCACTCAGCAAGTAGGCAGACGCTGTCCATTCTATATACAGTCTATGGCATTATGCAAAAATATGTGCCCCTTACCTCTATGAAGTTGCACAGCAATGGAAAAATGCAATGCATACTTTAAGCATAGCACAGTAAATGCAGCAGAACATTGATAAGTACAATCTGAGAATGGGCAACAGCTACAGACTCCAATCAAAGCAGTCTCTACCAGGCAGAACTCCATACTGATGCTCAGTCCCAATGCAGATGAGTATTTTTGACAATAGAGGTTTTCCTTCTTCATTATAAAACTACAACACAGAAATAGTATGAAGTGCTCACATGGGTTTAATTAAAAGATTATCTGAAATTGATTGCACTAAAAAGTATCATTTGACAGCCCAAAATAGGACAAATAAATCTATTTCACCTCACCTCTTTCAGGTTATTCAACTTCTCCTGGGTGGCCCTTAAGGCTGTACTCTTGTCTGAAACCTGCTTTTGTAAATGGATCAGATCAATGCTCCCTTTTATGGTTATCCTATCAGGAACAAAGACAAATTACAGATCATTGATTTTTGGATATTGTTTCTGGTCAAAAAAGAGAGAGCTAATTACACAAAAAGGCACTCGTCCATTATTAGTTTTATAAGCAGTTACATTGCTGCTGCAGCCACCTGTGTTTTTCAGTATGTTGCTTTCTCTTGTCTTTCACGGTTTCTGCAATCTCTTTTTCCTTTTCTTCAAATGTTTCTTTGAGTGCCTGGGCAGTCAGCTCTTGCTTGGTAGCCCTCACTTGCTCTGCCATGCTGGACCTGCTAAAATGAAAAGATATGATAGGATAGAGTAAGGTCAGAGTAAATGGGATTTTACAAGTCAAGGTGTAATAGGGAGAAAGAATGTAGTTGAAAGAAGGTGAACTAGAGCAAATGCAAATGTTGGCAAAAAAAAGTTGACAAAAAGAACTGAACAAAAACCTTTCTTTTATCACACAGCCTCTCAATGTGATTTATTTATATTCTAAGATTGGAAAGTTACAGATTATGATTCCCTGCGTTAAATCTCATATTAATACAAACCAGACAAGTGCATTTTGAACTTATATTTAAGATAGAATAAGTCTCAAGTTTTCAAAAGTAAACAAAAGAAAGAAGACAGAGCTGATATGAGAAAACTACAGAGCTTTTGTATTCTTTACAATTATTCCTATACAACTAAACAAAAATAATCTGTTTAGGTCAATGAACAAAAGGCATATTGTAAAGCTTTTTCTTACACAAAAAGTATGAGATGCTTCTAAATGTTCATATTTCTGTTTTCTTTTTGTTATGCAGTTGCATACTTACAATCTCTCCATCTCCATTTTTGTCTCCTCCATCATTTCATAATAGTATGGTGGGGCAGTCTGAGGTGCTATCCTGACTCCATCATTAACTTCCCTGTTTTTAACTTTCAGGGGGGAAAAATCGAAATGGCAGAAAGTCAGAGAAAAAAATAAGGGAAAGCAGGACTCTGGTCTGTCTTAGTGTATTGTGTTATTTTTATGTATTTATATTTTTTATTTTTTGCACAGCACACACACCTTTACTGAATTTGTATGGTGTGCGTCCCACAAGGTCCAAAATGTGCTGCTTGGCCAGGCTCAGTTTGTTCTGTAAAACCCCTATCTGACTTTCCAACATAGCCACATGGGCTTCCAACTCCTGTATGGTGTCCCCCATGTCCCTCTCCTTGACACCACTAGACATAGGTTGTGCCTGATGAAGACGCATCAGTCTGGTGGACATTCTGTATCAGGAAGGAGGAGGATTAAATCAGATTGATGAAGTAACCTACACTGGTGCTACAATGTCTGTGGTTAGGTGTGACCATTGGGGTATATTTAAGTTTAGGTTTCATATCCTACCTGCGTAGGTTTTGCTCTTGTGTATGTGAATGTTGTCTCAGTACACGGTTTTCCTCTTGTAGTCGGAGACATAGTTCTTCCAGGTACTCTCTGGGGAACCGACACAGGCGCTGAGCATCTACCAAGGAGAAAAAACAGAATATTTTACAAGTCAACAAATATGATGCTTTGGTATAGATTAGATTTAAAGACTAATAAATATATAATGGCAACCCAAGAAATTAATGTTATCAAGGGGTTTTACCTTTTGTCTTCAAAACATGCTGCTTTTTCCATGGCTTTGAATCATGTTGAGTATCTAGGAAAAACAAGAATAGGATATTTAATTGGAAGATTTAGTTGTTAACGGGACTTAAATGAACAGACATAACTTTAAGGACATTTCAGAAGGCAAAATTTACTTAAAGGCTGTTGAGTCCAAAATTGTCTCAAAATCTATCTCTTTAATCATTTGAAAAAAATCTACATTTACTAAAGGTAAGAGTATACGTAAAGATTTAACATTTTTCATTCAGTACTTCCATTACAAATATAGGTAGAATAGATAGAACTTTATTGACCCTTTTGAAAATGATCCCTAAAGGACATAAAAAATTTCAGCAGCAACAGTATGTACAGGAAAAAAAAAAGAATAAAGACATTATAAAACTTCAGATAAATTAAACAGTTCCATACAATAAACAGTAAGATATAAGACTATGGACATTTCCACTTTACTACTACTACTACGACCACTACTACTACTACTACTGTTACTGAACAAGGTACAACCCCACATTGCAATCATGATATGAAATGAATAAAAGCAGAAACACAAACCTTGGACAATTGGTATCAATCCCCTCCTTGACGTCCCAAAATCTCTAACAGGGAGGTCCCCTGCTGTCTCATCCACCACAGGGGGTGCCATACTTCTGCATTCAGAATCAGATCATCATAAACCTCCAGCATTTAATTTTTTATTAAAGCAAATTTGTTTTGCCATTTTCCGGTTTATTGGGTTTCATTCTTGTTTACAAATGGAATGTGATCTGTGTAAAAGGTAATTCCATGTACAGCAACATAGAGAGACCAACCAAAAAATTTAATTCATTATTTCACAAATATAATATAAATAACTGTAACCATTCACCCTCATATACACCAGCAGCAACAGCTATATAAACAAATTATTTGACTTACCTCTTTAAGTCACACAACCGTTTCTTACTTTTGCAAATAAGTGTGTTCGTTCCCACTAAAGTCTTGTGTTCAGCATAGCCACAATGCTCTCCATGTCTCCACTCATTGCTTGGATGCTCTCAGTTTTGACTCCTTTTAATCTCTTCTGCCTACCTTGTCTTCTGTCTCTTGAAAAAAATTCTGTACATGGACTTGATTCCCAAATTTATTTCTGGCATAATCAAAAACTAAAACTAAATAGGTACTTGCTGTACACATGTATGTGTTATCCATACATACATATGCATGTATGGACTTCTGCTTGTAAGCATGCAGCGTGTCTAAGTCTCCTTATGAGACTGAGTCATGAAGTCTCAGGGGCACCATCTGCGGTGTGGCTAATCCCATCTCTAAACTAATCTGATTAACAAACATGGACAGAGTAAGACTTGTCTTAAGTCGGTTTTGTGGTAAATTCAAAAGAATAGACGTGTTTTTACATGGGAATACATGCAGATCTGTGCTTAAGATGTTACTTTTAATGAGTGGTTGAAAGGGAAGAACACCAAGGAGAGGCATATAAAGAGAAAGCATGTAAAGCAGTTGAGGTAAGGATAGACAACATTAAAAGTTGAACAAGTTGTAGTAGTTTCTTATCAAAATAAATTGCCTATAAGCACAGTTTGATCTTAAGTAAAAGAGAATCATAGATTGTGTGTCTGTATATAAGAAACATTGGGCTACTTGAAACACTGTAGGCCTACACTCACAAGTAAAAATATCTTTCTAATGTAAATTATCTGAGTCCTAAAGAGCCCCCAAAGTTCCAGAAAGAAAAAAAAATATTGTGCACACAACAAAATTATCTAGTGCATGCAAAATATAAGGACTTGAACAGAATATAATTGTCTTGTGTGCATAAGATATTATCTGTGTAAGGGCATGAAATATCTGTACTTAAAAGACTGCTGTTATGATTGGTTCTTGTGAATTTCGTTTTTCCTGGTTTTGTAATTAAGTTGTATTTTCCCAAGTATTTCTGTCCCTTTGATCCTGTTTTGTAAGTTTTGTAAGTGTAACAAAGACTCTCGCATAGATTGGGCCGTGTCTCATTTCAGAGGCCGTGTCTCATTTCAGAGACTGCACCGTCGAACGGCGCATTTGAAGCGCGCGTGATGTTATCACACGGCGCGAACGGTGTCCCATTTGGCACGAAATGCTAAGCGCGCTTCAAATTCGGGCTGTGTCTCATTTGAGAGACCGCACCGTCGAACGGCGCATTTGAAGCGCGTGTGATGTTATCACGCGGCGCGAACGGTGTCCCATTTGGCACGAAATGCTAAGCGCGCTTCAAATTCGGGCTGTGTCTCATTTCAGAGACCGCACCGTCGAACGGCGCATTTGAAGCGTGCGTGATGTCATCACGAGGCGCAAACGGTGTCCCATTTGGCACGAAATGCTAAGCGCGCCTCAAATTTTTCAAGCGTGCATTTGTGCACGCTTTCGTGCCGTTGGTATTCCAGAATTCTTTGCATGCAGCTGCACAGCTGCGCATTCAGGGTGAGAGGCTGGACTCGCTTAAAATAAAAAGAAATCCAAAAACAGCAGACAGTCAGCTCAGGCTGCATGAGCGCATGATCTCCTAACTCAGCTAAATCTGAAAAATCAAACATTATACTCTTCAGAGACCAACTGATCCACTCTGCTACCACAATCAGAAACATTAGAAATAAGAAAGCTGACAAAACTACAGCAGAGGATCATTGACACATTCATTTTTTTTTTTTTTTTAAAGTCATAAAGCTGCTTTTGTGGAGGGGGAAATGACTGAAGCTGGTCATCTGCAGGGTTATTGGTGGATGTATCAGCTCAACTCAACTCAACTCAACTTTATTTGTTAAGCACTTTAAAACAACCACAGCTGAACAAAGTGCTGTACATAACTAGACAAAACAACAAGATAAAAAACAATCAAAAAACAATTAAAACAATAGATAAAATAAAAGCAGAATTAAAAGTAAAATATAGTTTCAATGTTTTTAAAAACTAATTTAAAAACATAGAAACAAATAACTAAAAACAAACCATAAAACACTAAAACAGGAGCAGAGTCTCATGCAGGTTTAAAAGCCAATGAATAAAAATGGGTTTTAAGACTACTTTTAAAAATGGACAGTGTGGGGGCTTGTCTAATTTGGAGGGGTAGCTCGTTCCATAAATTTGGTGCTGCAACAGAAAAGATCTATCCCCTCTGAGCTTCCGTTTGGACCTCGGTACCTCCAGGAGCAGCTGATCAGCTGACCTGAGGCACCGAGCAGGGGTGTAGGGGTGGAGAAGCTCAGAGAGGTAAGATGGAGCCAGACCATTTAAAGATTTAAAAACAAATAAAAGAATCTTAAAATGAACTCTAAAGTGCACGGGTAACCAGTGGAGGGAGGCCAGGATGGGAGTAATGTGCTCCCTCTTACGTACTCCAGTTAAGAGCCGGGCAGCTGCGTTTTGAACTAACTGGAGATGTGAGAGGGAGGACTGGCTGACTCCAAAATAAAGTGCGTTACAGTAATCCAGCCGAGATGTAACAAAGGCATGGATTACTGTTTCAAAGTGCTTACGTGAAAGAAAAGGCTTTGCCTTCGCCAGCTGCCTAATATGATAAAAACTGGATTTCACTACCGAGCTAATTTGCCTATCAAATTTAAAATCACTGTCTATCTTAAAACCCAAATTTGAGACAGTTGGCTTTAAATAATCTGCTAAAATACCCAAGTCTACAGGAGGGGTTTCACATGGGCCACTGGGACCAAAGACCATCACTTCTGTTTTTTTTTTTTCATTGAAATTTAAGAAATTCAAAGCCATCCAGGCTTTGATGTCTTCAAGACATGCCAGAAGTGGAGTGAGGGAGAAAGCATTTTTCTTGTTAAGTGGCACATATATCTGACTGTCATCAGCATAACAATGAAATGAAATGCCATGCTTTCTTAAGATGGATCCCAGGGGCAACAAATACAAAGAAAAGAGCAGGGGCCCTAAAATCGACCCTTGTGGAACCCCATACGGCAGTGGAGCAGAGCTGGACTTTGTATCTCCAAGGCTCACACTCATTGTTCTGTCGGTCAAATAAGACTTGAACCATTCTAGTGCAGTACCACGGATACCTATAAGGTAGCTTAGCCGAGCCACCAGAGTGTTGTGGTCCACTGTGTCAAAGGCTGCAGTTAAATCTAACAGAACAAGAACAACACTAGGGCCCCGTTGGGGCACTGGCGGGCCCGAGCCGTGTCGCCCCCCCCCAACGCGCTGCCTCCCCGTCCCATTCGTTTCCTCTGGCCATCGCCCTCTCTGGTAACGCCCATCACTGCAAAGACCCTTTTCCTTCATCGGCGTATGCTGTTCTTCCTGCCAGTGCGTGTTGCTTTCACTTACACTTGCCACAGCCAGCCTCGTGAGTGCCTAGCCTATTGGATATCACTGTCACCTACACAGGACAGTCATACTTTGTTTTTTAATTTCACATTAATTTCCATATTGTATAAACGACTGGAAAAAACTTGAGCCCCTGCCCCTGTATTATCATGTGCACGTCCCTGTTCTAGCTCCAAGGTGAATCTTCACTGCTCATGTTCTCCTCAGAAGCACTCACCTCACTCCCCTCAGGTTACTGTACACATGCACCAACTGCCTGCTTCAGGTTTGGATGTTGTCTTTTGGAGAAATGACCAGTCAAGTTGTGTTTGAAATCTGATTTTTTTCAGGGGCAAAAGGAAGCCTCTGCATTCTTGTCAAGTATGTAAATAGCATGTTTTTGCAGGTGCTAAAAAACAGACTCTGAGTGTGTGTGTGTGTGTGTGTGTGTGTGTGTGCGTGTGTGTGTGTGTGTGTGTGTGTGTGTGTGTGTATCCTGCAGTACTCTGAGAAGAATAATAAGCATATTTCTGAGGTGAATTTTGAAGATTCATCTGAGAGTTAGGTCTCAAAAGTGAGGACCTCAACCTATATACCAGTTTTTAAATTGTGTTGATAGGCCAAATAAAACCAGAGTTATGATAAATTATGTCCGCGATACTTGTTTTCTGCTTGTTTTGATCACGTTCGGCGCTCGATCGCGCTGTATGAGACAGGAAAACATAGCATGCACACATTAGCGACAGGTCTTACAGGCGGAAAAGGCTTGCCAAAAGAAAAAAAAACACACCACAACATCTCTCCTATTGGTGGAAAACTTCACCACAACAACCAATCCAAAATTATATGGTGACTGATTGACAAGGGGCGGGCGCTTACGTTCTTCCTGCAACATGAGAAGGGAGGGAGGGACTCTCAGCAGGGATGCAGTCTGGGACACGTAGTTGCAAACCTAGCGACTTTGTTGTTAGATTCAATTACTTTTCAGACCCCCTAACGACTTTTTTTTAGAAAGAAAGGGACTTTTATCGACTTCTTCTGGAGTTTAGAGACTCTGACATGAAGCAGGCTTTCCTTACTGAGGAGTTAGCAACGCTGCTAAGGGTGCAGAGCCACACATGCGCTCCGAGCTCTGCATGGGAGACTGAAGCTGACAGAGCTGCAGCAGTTAGCAGGTTTCACCCTCAGAGACCACCAGGGGTTCATGTTGAGGCATTTTCAGTTTTTGTTTTTTTTGCCATAGACTGTCAGCACAATCTGCAGTTACACTAACAAAAATGCTGCAAAAAACAAAGAATTATGGAAAGATTACACATGGACTGACATAGAGGAGGATCTACACAAGTTTTTTACATCATGTTTTACATCATGCATCATTTACATCATGTTTTTTTGTAGTGGCATAAATAAAAAGTGACATTTGTGAGACTATACAGTGTTTTGTAAATAATTTTACAAAGAACGCCTGGGCCATTGCCTGCATTTTGATGTAAATAGAGGTAAATTACTATGTTCTTTGTTAAAAATTTGCATATG